TTTTGAAATTCTCCTATAATGAGTTCCACACTTTCCTCTCTCTCCTGGAAAAATTTCAAAATTTTCCCTTTGCCAGTTTTCCAGAAAAAAATTAAAATGCAATAAGTGAATTTTTCTTAAATAAGTTAATTTTCCAGAATTTTTCCTGGAGTCATTTTTCATTGGAAAATTTTAAATTTTTCCTATAATGAGCTTTACACTTTCCTCTCTTTCCTGGAAAAATTTCAAAATTTTTCCTTTGCCAGTTTTCCAGAAAAAAAATAAAATGCAAGAGGTGAATTTTTCTTAATTTTGCTTAAATAAGTTAATTTTCCAGACTTTTTCCTGGAGTCATTTTTCATTGGAAAATTTTAAAATTTTCCTATAATGAGCTCCACACTTTCCGCTCTCTCCTGGAAAAATTTCAAAATTTTCCCTTTGCCAATTTTCTAGAAAAAAATTAAAGTGCAAGAGGTGAATTTTTCTTAATTTTGCTTAAATAAGTAAATTTTCTGGAATTTTTCCTGGAGTCATTTCCTATTGGAAAATTTTGAAATTTTCCTATAATGAGCTCCATACTTTCCTCTCTCTCCTGGAAAAATTTCAAAATTTTCCCTTTGCCAGTTTTCCAGAAAAAAATTAAAATGCAAGAAGTGAATTTTTCTTAAATTAGTTAATTTTCCAGAATTTTTCCTAGAGTCATTTTTCATTGGAAAAATTTGAAAATTTCCTATAATAAGTTCCACACTTTCCTCTCTCTCCTGGAAAAATTTCAAAATTTTCCTTCTGCCAGTTTTCCAGAAAAAAATTAAAATGCAAGAGGTGAATTTTTCTTAAATAAGTCAATTTTCCAGAATTTTTTCTGTAGTCATTTTTCATTGGAAAATTTTGAAATTTTTCTATAATGAGCTCCACACTTTCCTCTCTCTCCTGGAAAAATTTCAAAATTTTCCCTTTGCCAGTTTTCCAGAAAAAAATTAAAATGCAAGAGGTGAATTTTTCTTAAATAAGTCAATTTTCCTGAATTTTTCCTGGAGTCATTTTTCATTGGAAAATTTTGAAATTTCCCTATAATGAGCTCCACACTTTCCTCTCTCTCTCCTGGAATAATTTCGAATTTTTTCTTTTGCCAGTTTTCCAGAAAAAAATTAAAATGCAAGATGTGAATTTTCCTTAATTTTGCTTAAATAAGTCAATTTTCTGGAATTTTTCCTGGAGTTATTTTTCATTGGAAAATTTTGAAATTTTCCAATAATGAGCTCCACATTTTCCTCTCTCTCCTGGAAAAATTTCAAAATTTTCCTTTTGCCAGTTTTCCAGAAAAAAATTAAAATGCATGAGATGAATTTTTCTTAAATAAGTCAATTTTCCAGAATTTTTTCTGTAGTCATTTTTCATTGGAAAATTTTGAAATTTTTCTATAATGAGCTCCACACTTTCCGCTCTCTCCTGGAAAAATTTCAAAATTTTCCCTTTGCCAATTTTCTAGAAAAAAATTAAAGTGCAAGAGGTGAATTTTTCTTAATTTTGCTTAAATAAGTAAATTTTCTGGAATTTTTCCTGGAGTCATTTCCTATTGGAAAATTTTGAAATTTTCCTATAATGAGCTCCATACTTTCCTCTCTCTCCTGGAAAAATTTCAAAATTTTCCCTTTGCCAGTTTTCCAGAAAAAAATTAAAATGCAAGAGGTGAATTTTTCTTAAATAAGTCAATTTTCCAGAATTTTTCCTGGAGTAATTTTTCATTGGAAAATTTTGAAATTTTCCTATAATGAGCTTTACACTTTCCTTTTTTTCCTGGAAAAATTTCAAAATTTTTCCTTTGCCAGTTTTCCAGAAAAAAAATAAAATGCAAGAGGTGAATTTTTCTTAATTTTGCTTAAATAAGTAAATTTTCTGGAATTTTTCCTGGAGTCATTTCCTATTGAAAAATTATGAAATTTTTCTATAATGAGCTCCACACTTTCCTCTCTCTCCTGGAAAAATTTCGAAATTTTCCCTTTGCCAGTTTTCCAGAAAAAAATTAAAGTGTAAGAGGTGAATTTTTCTTAATTTTGCTTAAATAAGTAAATTTTCTGGAATTTTTCCCGGAGTCATTTCCTATTGGAAAATTTTGAAATTTTCCTATAATGAGCTCCATACTTTCCTCTCTCTCCTGGAAAAATTTCAAAATTTCCCTTTGTCAGTTTTCCAGAAAAAAATTAAAATGCAAGAAGTGATTTTTTCTTAATTTTGCTTAAATAAGTCAATTTTCTGGATTTTTTCCTGGAGTCATTTTTCATTGGAAAATTTTGAAATTTTCCTATAATGAGCTCCATACTTTCCTCTCTCTCTTGGAAAAATTTCAAAATTTTCCCTTTGTCAGTTTTCCAGAAAAAAATTAAAATGCAAGAAGTGATTTTTTCTTAAATTAGTTAATTTTCCAGAATTTTTCCTAGAGTCATTTTTCATTGGAAAAATTTGAAATTTTCCTATAATAAGTTCCACACTTTCCTCTCTCTCCTGGAAAAATTTCAAAATTTTCCTTCTGCCAGTTTTCCAGAAAAAAATTAAAATGCAAGAGGTGAATTTTTCTTAATTTTGCTTAAATAAGTCAATTTTCTGGATTTTTTCCTGGAGTCATTTTTCATTGGAAAATTTTGAAATTTTCCTATAATGAGCTCTACACTTTCCTTTTTTTCCTGAAAAATTTTCAAAATTTTCTCTTTGCTAGTTTTCCAGAAAAAAATTAATTTACAAGAGGCTTCATTTAATTTAAATAACACTGGAAAAGTCTAGGAAAATCGGAAAATTAAGGGAAAAAAAGTTGGTTTCGGGACTTTTTGGGATCCCCTCTACAAAATGGCTATCTTGAAATTTCGAAATTCTGACTTTGGTTTTTGGTCCTATACCTAGAGTACAGAAAACTCTGAAGATTACAAAAATTGAAACTTCAACCAGCTATAGCTCCGTAATGGTAAGTCATAGAGGAAAACTCTTCATGGGCAGATTATAGAACTCGACGAGATCTACAAAAAAAGCTCAGTAAGTTGTTCCTCCACGACTTACCATTTCCAAGATATTCCACTTGGAAATTTTAAAATCGATAGCCCAGGATTTTTTTTCGGCAAAAAAATCAAAGTCAAAAATTCCCGGATTTTCTTTGATGACGTCATAGAGGACATCCAAAAAAATGTCGGAACCTGCTTTGCCCCCCTCAATTTTCAGTTTTTCCTGGAGTTTTTGCTTTGCTCTTTTATAGGTTCTATCTATTATGAAAAAAATGGAAAATCGAAATTTTCGAATTTCGAAAAAACAAAAATTTCAGTATATAGAAGAAGTCAAAACAAGCAGAAAACCTCCTTGGCATTTTCCTGTAGGACATCGTCTAAGCCTGGAAAAAAAATAAAATAGAAAATTATTAGGGAAACTTTTCTTAGCCTGACATTGATCTTTATTAAATGGGCCATAGCCCTGGAACGCCTGGACCGATTTCAATGAATTTTATTTCAATAGATAGAGGATTAAATTGCCTACAAAATGGCTTTATCTAGAATTTCCAGAATCCTACCGTTTCTAAGTTATAAGTCTTCAAAGTTGAAATTTTCTCAAAAGTTAGTTTTAGCGTTGTTTCAGGTGAAGTTTCAACATCCAGGACAATTCCTAGTATGCTTTCCTCCATTCATTACTGTTAATTATGGAATAAAATAAAAAATAAAACGCTTTTTTTTGAACTTGTTTATTATTTTTTCCCTAATAATGCAGTGAATCGAAGCAGTAACATGTTTAATATGCATATCAGTTAACTATGTTAATTTTGGTTCAATTGAATTGAATTTTAAGTATGTTTTGCCTCTAAGTCTCTAAAATATTCCCTCAAAATTTCATATTTGTATTACAAGTAGTTTTTGAGTAAATAATTAAAATGTGAAGGCATGTCATATAAACAGATTTCCTAGAAACTTTCAACTTAAAAGGCTGATAATGCAAAAACTAGTGAAATTGTTAATAAAGCATCTTTGTATAAAATTCAATTCTCTATCAAATAAGATATGATTTATTGAAATCGGTTCAGAAACATCAAAGTTATAGCCAATTCTATAAAGCAGTGTTGAATCGCCACAAAATGGTGAAAATTCATGGGAAATTTAAGGGAAAAAAGTTGGTTTTGGGACTTTTTGGGATCCTCTCTACAAAAAGGCTGTTCAGCATTTTGCCCCATAGGCCTGGAGAAAAAGAAAAAAGAAAATTAATAGGGATATGAGACTTTTCCAGCCTGAATAGGTTCGATTAAATGAGGCATAACTCTGGAACGCCTTGATCAACCTCAATGAATCAAGTTTCAATGGATAGAGGATTAAATTGCCTACAAAATTATTATATCCAGAATTTCCAGACTGGAACCGTTTCCAAGTTATAAGCTTTCACATTACAGTTGATTCCTTTTTTTTTTATTTTTACCACTAGCGACATCTATTGAACAAATGCTAAAACTAATTATTACAGAAATCTGTGAATTTCAAATATAATTTGAAAAATAACATTTCTTGGCATTCGGAGGATCTCCTGAAAACCCTAGACGGCTTCTAAAATCTTTTAAAAGACTGCAAAAGCACTTTTTTTCATAATATTTGCTACGTTACTAGCGACATCTATTAAACCAAAGCTCAAGCTGATTATTATAGAAATCTGTAATTAAATATGTCAATTTTAATAAAATGTCTAGAGCTAGGTTTTCAGCAAACCGATGACGTCACTATAAGTACGCCCGTCGCAAAAAAAGAAATGCAATTTACCGTGCGTTCGTTATTTTGGTCTGAGTTCTCCGAGCATGACTTTACCGTTCGTTTATTTAAAAAGTGTACTCGGTGCAGCCTCATTCGCGTTCGTTTATTAAAATTTCTGGCACTTTTATATAGCGCTCAACTGCTCTGTTCCCTCGCTGGTCACGTGATTACGGCTCCACTCAGCACGCTCTGCTCTTCGAGCAAAATACCGAACGCAAGGTTAATCGAAATCTCGATAACTACAGCCAAATCATTTCGAATCAAGGAACACAAAAACTAAACGTTTTATTACAAATACAAATTCAATATATTACAAGGCCTACTTAATTCAATTACAGATTTCTGTAATTCATAAATTAGCCGTTTGTTTGATGAGGCATTTATGAAACGTAGCGTTTTCTTCGGGCTACTCTAAACAGAACACACTTTTGATTAATTTGGAACTAAATTAAAAAACTTTGAAATCTTTTAAAGTTGATTTTATTTAAATAAATAAATAAAACCATTGTTGTTGTTGCTGCTGTTGCTGTGGTGGCCCCATTTAGTTGGCGTCGCTCCTTGTAGGTGCAATAACCACACGGTGGTTCTTGGCCAAATAATCGGCGAACTCTTGGTAAGGGGTGCGACTCAGTGGCATCTCCTTCCACAAGTCTGGAGTCAAGTAGGCATAGGTCTTGGCAATGGCTGCATAAGTTGCTTTTGCAAAGTTACCCAAAGTACCTTAAAAAGAAAAACATTGTTTTAGTATTATTTAAATATAAAAATTTATAAATTAATAAATTGTTGGTTGTTTGTCAGAAATTCTAGGCCATCATTGATGTTTAGTCTCTGGTGGAAACCGCGAAAGAATTTTATTTTGCTCATCATGATTTAAAAAAAAAAAACAGATTTCTTCTTTTTTTTTTACTTACCAGTAGAACCTCTAGCTGAAGTGTAGCAATCTTCAATACCGGCCATTTGGAGTAGTTTTTTTGGAACTGGAGCAGATACGATGCCAGTACCGCGAGGTGCTGGAATCAAACGTACTGTAACTGAGCCACATTTGCCTGTAACCTTGCAAGGTACGGTGTGAGGTTGCCCAATTTTGTTGCCCCAGTACCCTCTCCTGACAGGTACTACTGACAGTTTTGCTAGAATGATGGCACCACGGATTGCTGTTGCCACTTCTTTGCTGCATTTGACTCCTAAGCCAATGTGGCCTTTGCTATCTCCTATAGCTACAAAGGCCTTGAACCTGGTACGTTGACCTGCACGGGTTTGTTTTTGGACTGGCATGATTTTAAGTACCTGAGGAAAGAATTTCTTGGTATTAAATTTGTGTATGGGGGATTCAAAAGTTTTGCTTATTAAGTGGTTTTTGAGTCAGACATTCTAAGGCCATCATAGATGTGTAAAATCTCTGGTGGAAACCGCGAAAGAATTAACTTTATTCATCATTTTAATCAGTTGCACACTGAGTTTATTTGTGTCTTTTACTATTAGCTTGCATAAGAGAGAGATAAAAATACATCTTACTTCGTCATTCAAATCACTCCCAATGAAAAAATCGATAATTTCAAACTCCTTTATGGGAAGCGAGAAAAGATAGATTTCCTCTAAGGACCTGATTTTTCCGTCACGGACTAAACGTCCCAGTTTGGTAACAGGGACCCATTCTTTTGCGTCCTCCTTGCCGCGACCGCGTCCGCGTCCCCTGCCTCTGCCCCTGCCACGGCCACCACGACCACCTCTGCCGCCTCCGGCGCCTCCGCCAAAACCTCCTCTGAATCCGCCTCGTCCACTGGCTGGAGCTGCGTCCGCCATTTCTACTAAATAAACTCAAATTTAAAACAAAAAACTAATAAGGAATTTTATTAATAATTAAATGGTGATTTTATCAGGAATTCTCTAAGGCCATCATTGATTTGGTTCTCTGGTGGAAACCGCGAAAGAATTGCGTTGTTCATCATGTAAAAACGTGGTAAAAAATAGATAAATTTGGGTAAAGACTCACCTGATAACCTTCTTCGACTGATGAAAACTAAAGAAAGAGGACTGGAAATGATTACGTCAGCTTATATAGTAAAATTTCGGCCAATCATAATGCATGAATTCAGTCACGTGCGTGTTGCTATGTAGTAAAAGCCAATAAGAAGCTGGTTTCAACATAACCTTAAACCTAGTAGCTTGGAAAAAGTTGTATCGATATTCATTGCTATCGATACAACAAGTGTTCTGTCGCTTTCTACATGTCGAATTTTAGTGTCGTTTTCAACATTTAATAAAAGGGAATTCGTGTAGAAAACGGTACACAAAATACCAAATATCGATCACGACATGTAACTCTAAAATTCAACAGTGCACGGAATCCGCGTTCAGAACGATATTGGACCGAGCAAGAACCGAAACGGAACCATTTTTCTTTTGCAAATTGGGACCGGAACAAAACGCATATTTCATAGAAATGTACCGCGCGTTCAGTAATATTTGATCTGAGTTCTCCGAGCTTGTATTTACCGTTCATTTATTCAAAAAGTGTACTCGGTGCAATATAGAAATGTACTGGGCGTTCGCTAATTTGATCCGAATTCTCCGAGCTTGAATTTACCGTTCGTTTATAATCGAATATAGAGTGTACTCGGTGCAAGCTCATTCGCGTTCGTTAATTTAAAATTTCAGGGTGCGTAACGCCCCGGAGCTGTTCTGGAGCTATTTCTAGGTGTGAAAGAAATACAACTAATTATAACATCCTATGGTGCAATGAAAGGTTTTGTTTGTATGTGTTGTTCGGAGCAGTAAATCCTGCTTTGGGGCGTTCGTTTATGTTATGATAATGAACTAACGAATATTATTATGGTTATTATCTGCCTAATCTGAAATATTACAGCCAATGAACTATAACCAAAAACTGGAATGCTAACACATAAGGACGAACTTGAAGCCTAGTGCGGCTGCTGCGGAGGGGATACCTGTTTTTGTCGCACTCATTATGTTAAATGGCGAAAATTGCTTCCAACACGTATTCCAATTGATGAAACCTGTGAAGGGAAATATGACAAAACTTTCGAAAACGTCATATGTCAGCGAGCAACAGAAAAAAACAACATTCCCCCTTGTGGCATCTGTCTTTCATGGCTTCTTTTTTTTGGCAGATATGGCAATGTGTGCGCATTCCAGTTTTTAGCTATAGTTCATTGATTACAGCTCAATTCAAGTTAGTGTGACACAAACAAACAAACAAAGCTAATCATCCGTTCTTACGAACACCCTACTTCAAGGTGAAGAATGACACGCTGCCTACGTCATCACTAGTACTTTGGCATTCACAAACTGTACAGAAGCATACATTTTTCCGTTAGATGCTGGTGAAAAACAGCTGTTAAAGCCGAAATTATTGGTCCGAACCGAATTGAAATGTTTCTCTTAGAACCGGAACCGATATTTCATTTCGGTCCGGGTCCCTGCCCTGCCTTCAAGGTCTCTAAGAATTCAATTTTTCCGCTCTATTTCCAACTCAATATTTGTTTATTACCGGCTCTTGAAAAAAAGAACCTTGATCAAGATGAGCCATGATAAGTAAAATTCTACTTTTATGACGTCAGGTTGCCTAGTAACCATCACCATCGCCTGTACTGTACGCAATAAATAGGTCGCAGGTGACGTCATGGAAGTAGAATTCTACATATTGTGATCCCAACCCAGAAATAGAGAAAGTGCATTATGTTAAGGCATACAGATGACGTCATAGAAGTAATCAGGCAACCTCCCTCTTTTAAATAACCTTGATAAATATGCACCTTCTTCATCAAAGGTGTATCGTTTCTCAATTTGCCCAGTTCAATATTTGTCTATTATCGGCTCTTGAAATGGAGAACCTTCAAGAGCCTGGAATAGAAGAAATATGAAGGTGTATGATCAAGGTTCCTAAAGTTCATAGGTTATCTGATAATGGGTAACTTGATGACGCATCTGGTGTGCCTTTATTACATGAATGAATGAATTATATTAAGGTATACAAATGACGTCATAAAAGTTAACAAATAACCTGATAATTCTAAATGAACCTTGGTGCATCATCATTTAAAATATTGAAATTTTGTCTCTAATCAATATAACAAAATCGATATGCACCTTCATCAAAGGTGTATCGTTTCTCAATTTTTCCTGCTCAATATTTGTCTATTAGCGGCTCTTGAAATAAAGAACCTCCAAGATGAGCCTGGAATAGAAGAAATATGAAGGTACATGATCAAGGTTCCTAAAGTTCACAGGTTATCTGATAATGGGTAACTTGATAACACATCTGTGGAGTGCCTTATGAAGATTTGCATTATATTGAAGCATACAGATGACGTCATAAAACTTATCAGACAACCTGATTCTAAATGAACCTTGGTGCATGATCATTTAAAACATTGACATTTTGTCTCTAATCAATATAACAAAATCGATATACATCTTCATCGAAACTATAGCTGGGTTCGGCTATTCAGCGCGGAGTTGGAGTGGAGTGAGCAAAGCTAATAGAGTCACCCCTAATAAGGTAAAAAGCAATACCCGAACCTTAACCCGAACGGCTGGAGTGCGAATGGAGTCACTCGAAGTGCACGGAATGAGCAAGCCGAACCCACCTTGTATAGATATGCACCTTCATCAAACATGTATCGATTTTCAATTTTTCCTGCTCAATATTTGTCTACTACCGGCTCTTGAAATGGAGAACCTTCAAGAGCCTGGAATAGAAGAAATATGAAGGTGCATGATCAAGGTTCCTAAAGTTCATAGGTTATCTGATAATGGGTAACTTGATGACGCATCTGGTGTGCCTTTATTACATGAAGATTTGATTTATATTAAGGTATACAGATGACGTCATAAAAGTTAACAAACGACCTGATTCTAAATGAACCTTGGTGCATGATTATTTAAAATATTGAAATTTTGTCTCTAATCAATATTAGAAAATCAATATGCACCTTCATCGAAAGTGTATCGATATGCCCCTTCATCAAAGGTGTATCGTTTCTCAATTTTTCTTGCTCAATATTTGCCTATTACCGGCTCCCGAAATAAAGAACCTTCAAGAACCGGGAATAGAGGAAATATGAAGGTGCATGATCAAGGTTCCTAAAGTTCATAGGTTATCTGATAATGGGTAACTTGATGACGCATCTGTAGTGCCCTATAAAGATTTGCATTATAAGGAGGCATACAGATGACGTCATGAAAATTATCAAACAACTTGATTCTAAATGAACATTGGTACATAATCATTTAAAACATTGACATTTTGTCTCTAATCAATAAAACTAAATCGATATACATCTTCATCGAAACTATATAGATATGCACCTTCATCACAGGTGTATCGATTTTCAATTTTCCCAGCTCAAATATTTGTCTATTACCGGATCTTGAAATGGAGAACCTTCAAGAGCCTGGAATAGAAGAAATATGAAGGTGTATGATCAAGGTTCTTAAAGTTCATAAGTTATTTGGTAATGGGTAACTTAATGACGCACCTGGAGTGTGTTTAAAAATGGAGTGTGAAGGTAGAGTAGTTATTTGTCAGAGTGCTCTGACGTCATCACTTGAAGTGCACTCTGGGTGCGCTGTTTCTGAACATATGGATGCGTTGCGGTATTATATCAAGGAAAATAACCTTAAAATCACGTCAAACCTGGTAAAAACTACGGGCATTTTCCAACCCAGTCCCTCGGTGGAGTAATTTGGGCGCACTCTGGGCACATCAACTCTCGATTTCTCTCCAAGTAAGCACCAGTTAATTTATGAACGGTTTAGAGTTACTCTAGGGTCACTTTCACACCCAGAGTGCTATTTCTAAACGCAACCCTAGAGTGCCTTATGAAGATTTATATTATGTTGAGGCATACAGATGACGTCATAAAAGTTATGAGACAACCTGATTCTAGATGAACCTTGGTGCATGATCATTTATAAAACAGTAACATTTGTCTCTATTCGATATAACAACATCGATATGCACCTTCATCGAAGGTGTATCGTTTCACAATTTTCGCTGCTCAATTTTCGTTTATTCCCACTCTTGAAATAAGGAACCTTCAAGAGCCTGGAATAGAGAAAATATAAAAGTGCTGGGATTCTGACGGTAACGAATAGAAATCTACTCCTAATCTCTATTGGCATTCCCTCTTTATTAATTTCGATAAGAAAGAAGAAGATAGCAAATGTCACAGCCCATAAATTTAGATTGCTGAATTTCGCCGAGTCGAAAATAAAGGCTTTATTTATTTATTTATTTATAAATAAAGATCTCTATCCCCGTTACAGACTCCCAGGCCTCTGAATAATTTAAAATTGAATGTGTATCGATATATACACTTTCATCGACGATATATCGACGTGTCATATCGATAACCGCTCTTCTTATTAAGCAATCCAATCCATCTGTCAAAACGAAAAATTCAATATGGCGTGGCGGCCAGCAAACATTCTAACCTCAAATCAAATCAGCTGAATTCCCACACAAAAACAATGTTCAAACTAATCCAATTATTACCAAAAAGGCCCCTTTTACATATGAAAAAAGCTCGTAAAAATGCACGTACCTTCCTATCGCAGGCCTACTATTGCGAAGACGCCTGGCGTCAAAGACTAAACAGCCCCCTTCTACAGAAAATCAACCTGGAAGAATTCTACTATGAACTAGAGCAGCGTTACCAGAAATCCAGAAGCCTTAACGCACTGGATATCGATATATTCGCCAACGCAATTCAAAATGATCAGTTTTGTGACGAAATTCTTGATCTGGTGCACAAACTCAGGCTTACAGCTGACACTGGAAACGCTCCAGAGTCTATGAGCCACGCTGTGATCAGATTACTAGCTCAGAATCAGAGATTTGATGATCTATTGGATGCCTTGGATGACAGGCTGAATTATGGACTTTTCCTGGATTATTTTACAGCAAACTTGCTTATGGACATTTTCTGGAAAGCTAAAAAGTATGCTCATGGAGCTAGAGTTGCTAGCCAGTTGATGTTGCAAGAAGAACTAGAACATCCTTTGTCTAATGATTTAGCTCTTTTGCACTGCTACAATTATCTATTGAAACCAGAAGGTAATGTATAACTAAGGCCTGGGATTACAAGGTCTGTTCCCATAACCAGTCATAGAGCATATTTCATTGGTTGAAAATAGTCAGGAAGCTGTTTGTTGACCAATCAAAAATGCTTTGTGATTTCTGTAAGAACAGACCTTAAATAAATATTTAGGCCTGGTTTATTCATCTTCAGATAAACCCAGTCTTTAATCTATCAATAGAAATGGGATTAAACAATGTCCATTTATAAATTGAAAAGTAGCAGGTGCATTATTCAAACCTAAAGCTTTTCTCACTTTAGGTTGGCCTGTACAAGAACCACCAGTGGAACCTGAAGAAGAAATCAAAATAAGAGTCAAATATCTAAGAAACCCCTGGAATGATGATCATTTTGATTTAAGAGAAGACAAAAAAATCATTGGAAAAACTTTAGCCATGATTGGCAAGGGTAAAACTGACCCTTTGTACCAAAGTTTCCACATCTTGGGCCTTGCCTTATACCAAAAACCCTACAACAACATCCCAGTAACAACTCCTTTATACAAAGAAATCTTAGACTTACTACCAGAACCACATACATTTGAAACAGAATCTATTGATGTTAACACTAAGCTAATTGACAATGTTAAAAACAGTTTTACCAAAACCCACCAACAAGACATAAACCAGCAATGCAAAATCTACCAGCAATGGGAACAAAATCGCCTCAAGTCAATGGAAGACCAGAAACAGCGCCTTCACACAGCCAAAAGACTAGAAAACATCAAAGACCTCAAACAAGCACTCAAAGAAAAAGAAGAAAAACTTTGGTTCTTTGAAAATGAGGAACAGATTGACTTGGCAATTGATGCCAAAACCAAATTTTACCCCAAGAGATGGTTTGGGCATAAAAAGAAGCCTAGACATGTTGATGAAGGTTACATACCACCCCAATAATAATTATAATAATTGTAATAAATAATTGTATTTTGTTTTATTTGAAAAGTTGCAGGGGCATTAATCAAACCAAAAGGTTTATTTGCCTTCTAACATCTCAATTTCTTTTCTAATTTCAGCCAAATCTCTTTGGACTTTATCTAATTTGTCTCTGAAATCTTTGTTTTTCTCAATTTCAAGTTGCTCTTCCAAATTTCTAAGTTCTCGTTCAGCTTGTCCCATATCTGTAACAGCTTGTAGAATCTTGTTGCATTCTTCTCTCAGTGCTGCTAGAAGCTTGTAGGCTCTTCTAGAAGTTTCTTCTTGTTTGCAATCCTAATAACACAGAAAGTATAACATATAAAATACATTTTAGCTACTTACATAGAAAATCAATTCATCACTAAGTGTAAAACTCCTATCCACTTGGCCAGTCAAGCTGTTAATATCCTTTTGCACCCTTCTAGTGTCCAACAAAATCTTTTGTATTTCCTTTTTCTGCTTTTGTATGTTGCCCACTATTTCTAGGATTCTTTTGGTATAAGCAGCTCTACTGTTTTTGCTATTTAAGTCTTTGCATTTCTCAATTAAACCTTGTTCTAGGAGACATTTGTCTTTATAATCTGCAACCAGTTCCTTATGGGTTTGTTTCAAACGTTGCAACCGGTCTTGGTCTTTTTGGGTTTCTATATGCTCCAAACTCGCAGAACTATATTATAGAAAAAATAACACATTAATATAATTACATTGAGTTTAAGCCTATACATACTTCTTTAAAGTTTCAAGTTCTTGCAGTAGAGGTGTTTGTACTTGGCTCCATTGATTTGCCAATTCAACCAAACGATTTTCAGCTTTTTGTACTAAATTCCTTAGCTTCAATTTGTTGTCTTCACTACTCAAAACAGCTAAAGTTTTATGCTTGATTTTCAATGTATTTGTCTTTGTTTCAAGCACTTGTTGCTCCTCCTCAATTTGCTGTTTCAATTTAGCCAATATTTCCTTATTTGCATTAACATCTGCCCTCAATTCAATTATTAAATCTTTCTTTTGCTTTAATTCATCAATTATTTCATTAGTATTTTGATTTGTTGTAACAATATCTTCAACAAAAATATCATCATCCAAAGGTTTTGTTGAAGTAATTTCAACATCTTTCCAATCAACTTTAGCTCCTTCAAACAAAAGTGAAGGCAATAGTTGACTTGTAGAACACTGTAGATTAACAGGAGGTATAAGTGCAGCCTCCTCTACACTACTAGGAACAATTAAATCTACACAATCAATAGGGCTACAATGTCCAAACCCCCTATCACAAACCTCTGAAGGCAACCAAAATCTACCCAAATCCTCCTTTAAACTGTTTTCAATTTGTTTTATAATCTTTGGTACATAACCAATAGGTTCTTCAATTAGTGTAGATGATTCTTTGGGTAAATGCTCCAAAAGAAACATTAGCACCCGTCTAACATCTACATCATTACAATACAATATAGTCTGATAACCCATGTCACCCTTAAACCCTAAATCTTTTATTTGCTGGGCAAGATCTGAGGCGAATTTAATGCGAGAGCTCATTGAAGGGGGCAGTTTTTTGGGGTGGTTAATTTGGGGGTCTATTGAAGCCAGGCAACTCGATATTGCAGCTACAACAATGTCCGGGGTGAATTTCTTAAGGGTGTCAATGTCTTCATCAATCTCACTATTCAAATAGTTGAATTAAGGGGTGAATTAACTTTTATACAAAAGAGTACTTACCAGTTTAAGTTCCTTAAGGATTCTATAATGATTTTGTCAACTTCTTCCATTGTAAAACTTGTAATGTCCCCAGAGTTGTAGTTGAAATAATATAAACAAACAAACAAGTATGTCCTTGGGTTCTCCGGGGTGATAATTATCCGTGCGTTCGTTATTTTGGTCTGAGTTCTCCGAGCATGACTTTACCGTTCGTTTATTCAAAAAGTGTACTCGGTGCAGCCTCATTCGCGTTCGTTTATTAAAATTTCTGGCACTTTTATATAGCGTTCAACTGGTCTGTTCCCTCGCTGGTCACGTGATTACGGCTCCGCTCAGCACGCTCTGCTCTTCGAGCAAAATACCGAACGCAAGGTATATATGATTTCAGCTGTGGCAGCTTCTAGAGCTGTAGCAACACTCTGGGTTAGATACAAAGGCGTGTTACTGGGCAACAGATGTTGTAAAAAATTTAAATTGTTAATGTTTATATGTGTTTTAAACAATAAATTATAATGTTATAGTACCATAGTGGTGCTTCAAGGAACCTCTCTGCAATGGAAAACATACAAGGTACTTTAATTTGAGAGGGCTGTGTGGGTGGATATCTTATAATTGTTGTTGTTGTTGCTTTGATAATTATTTATATTCATTTGGTGTCCCTTAAGTCAGGTTGACACGGTCCAAGTCCTACTTGGATCAAGTACACTCTGTATATAGTCTGTATACAGCTAGAGACAAGTATGATACAGCTTTGAACAGATCTGATGCAGCTTTAGACAGATCTGTATATAGCTATATAGGCCTATAGAGATAATAAGTCTGATAGTTACATGCATACAGCTTTAGATAGGTCTGTATACAGTTTTAAACAGGACTGTATACAGCTATACAAATTTAGGACAAGTCTGATACAGCTTCAGGCACGTCTGCATACAGATTTAAACAGGTACCTATACAGTTTTAGACAGCTGTATACACCTAGGTCTGGAGACAAGTTTGATACAAAATTGGACAGGTCCAATACAGCTTAAACAAGGTCTATATACAGTTTTAGACTGGTCTTTGTACAGATATACAGATCTAGAGACAAGCCTGATACAGCTTTGGACAAGTTTGTATACAGTTTTAGACAAGTCTATATACAGCTACAGATCTAGAGACAAGTCTGATACAGAATTGGACAGGTCCAATACAGCTTAGACATAAGGTCTGTATATACAGTTTTAGACTGGTCTTTATACAAGTATACAGTATACAGATCTAGAGACAATCCTGATACAGCTTTGGACAGGTCTGATATACAGCTTCAGACAGGTCTGTATACAGTTTTAGACAGGTTTGCATACAGAGACCTCTCCTAAATATAGCTGTACAGACGAAAAAATGATGATAGCAACATGTCTATTAAATTCTACAATTCTACTAATGCAGTAGCAGTTTCTTTTCAACTTGAACCATAGAATAATCCCAAGTAAAGTTACTATACTTTTCACCCTCATTAATATTAAATTCCAATGATAGTTGTCAAACAATTTTGCGCCACCCGTGAAAACATGTACAGTCAAAGAAAATGGGAAAATCAATAGCCCTAGTTATCGGGGTCTGCGCCCGAGCGAGTTCACCCTTAGTCTGGCTTTTCCACCCTTTTAAAGCGTTTCGGACCCATAAGTTTTTAGCCCTAAGAAAAAACCTAGTAATTTTGAAAATTTTCACTCCCATTATTGCTAACAAATTGCCAACGCGTCTTTGTACCTATTTACCAAATAAATCAAAACTTGTGTGAAAAGTCTCCTCTTTTGTTTGATCAAAATTGAAAAGTCTAATGTGGAATCAATACTACCGTTTGGGTAAGTCGTTATTAGGAGAAAAGAGGTCGTAAAACTGACCTCTGTTCTCAGACAATACAATATTACAAGGCAAAATATAGGTATAGATATCAATACTCTTAAAAATTGGATATTTTTGGACAATAAATTGTTGCTTTCCCAAAAATCAAAATCCAAGTGGAAAAATTTATGCGATCGATGTTTCGCTAGGCGCCAGCAAGTCGCATTTTTCCATCCGGCACGCGATTTAGCCTGGAATTATTTCCTGGAGCAAATAGCTTTTAAATCCAATAACCAGAATTTTATAATTTAGGAGTCTCATTCCTCATTCAATCGATGAAATGACGTACTTGTTATTTTACAAGTTACACAATGGTTTTAAAGAGAATTTAATGCCCTTTCCAATGATGTATAGTTAGGTAAAGATAATTTGATCAAATATTATAGAAGATATTGGTAATTATTCATAAGCATGTCAAGATTTTCAATGAGATTTGGGCTACCTTCCCCCTTTGGATTTTTATTTGCAAATCTTCAAGCCTGAATATCTCGGTAACCACAAGCGATATTGGGACAAATTTTTTAAAGATTGTAGCTCTTGATAAGGGCTTTAAGATGGTGTTTAGCTGAAATCGCTGGTTTTTAAGGTTTTTGAGATTATCGATTTTGAAGTTTTGGACAAAATCTGAACTAAATTTCAACTTTGAGGCTCAATATCTCGAAAACTATATAAGCCACAAAAACCAGCCTTATACAGGCTTGAAGAGAATTTATTTCTCTTTCCAATGATTTATAATTGTAAGCCATTTGTTCAAATCTTATCATAGATATTGGCATTTATTCATAAGAGTGTCAGGATTCCAAAAACTTCTCAGGTCCAAAACTGTGATTTCCTTTTGGATTTTTTTTCTCATTGAAATTTTCAAAATGTAAGTGGTGTTAGACTTGTTTCTGACTAATTTGGACTCGCTTTATCGATTTCTGAAGTCAGAATTAGGAAAAACTCAAAAATAAAAATTTTCAATTTTTTGCTCTTTTTCCTAAGACTAACCCCTTTGGATTTTTATTTGCAAATCTTCAAACCTGGATATATTGGTAACCACAAGTGGTACTGGAATAAAATTTATATGGATTGTAGCCCTTGATAAGGGCTTTAAGATGATATTTAGTTGAGATCGCTAGCGTTTACGGTTTTTGAGAAAATCGAATCTGAAATTTTGGACAAAATCTGGACTAAATTTCAACTTTGAGGCTCAATATCTCAGAAACTAAACAAGCTACAAAAACGAACCTAGTGCGGTTTCATAGAGAATTTAATGCTCTTTCCAATAATGTATAATTATAAGCCATTTGTTCAAATCTCATTAAAGATATTGGCATTTATTCATAAGAGTGTCAGGATTCCAAAAACTTCTCAGGGCCAAAACTGGAGATTTTCTTTTGGATTTTTTTTCTCATTGAAATTGTCAGAATTTAAGTGATGTTAGACTTTTTTCTGAGTAATTTGGACTCGTTCTATCGATTAAAAAATTCAAAATTAAGAAAAATCCACGAATAAACATATTTAGCAACGTCTAAACCCTAATAATATTAAAGAAATATAGCTGAACAACCTTTTCTGAATGAATCCATTCAAAAATAAAACAGCAATTTGCACGCACTCTGGCACAACGCCAAACCCCAATAATAACCCATTGATAAATCTGAAAATCGCGTGTTTAAGCTTGGATCTAGACAACAGACATTTTTTGTTTTAGGTAATCCAAACGACTGCGCCATAAATACCGGTTATGCTACTGTGCGGTGAGCTGCGCGGTTCCCCATTACTCAACTGTCAAGTTAACAGCGTTTTTAACTCGTCCCACTCGCCTTACGTCGCGCTGCTTGCGTTGGCACGAGGCATGGCGGCCTCCCACCTGAACCAAGAGGCCGCCGAGGACGTTTTCCTCGGTACTTCCCCCTTTTACTAATAAAACTTAATCTCACTTTGTTTGATTCACAGAAAATGGTCTTTTGAGCTACGAGAATCCCAACTATCATCAACTTGGACCTTCCAAAAGGATCGATGATGCATTGAATTCGAATACTGATAATCTTTACGAGGATATTTATCAGGAGTTGGACGATATTTGCAATATGGGGCATGGAGGAAATAAAATTAATACTGCCAGTAGAAAGACTTATGCGGCATTGGATGTTGAATCTATGGGGGTTGATGTTAATACTGGACCGGCAAATTTAATAGACAATAGAAGGTCAGTTTTAGTAGTCAATGAAAATACCTATAAGTACTAACATTGTAACAAATATATAGGGATCTTGAATGGAACGGAAACACTGATACAATTGAAAGGGACAAAAATAATAGCACAACTATTTGGGACAAGTATGTACATTTTTAATAATATAAGTACAGTAGCATGACGGTTTTTTTTTCAATTATGCTGTGCTAATAAACATTTTTATCCCTAAAAAACAAAACCGTCATGCTGCTGTACGCTCCCTTAATACACACACTCAAACCAAACATTTTCTGTTTCAGTATTTGCCAGAAACTGGGCACCCAAAATGAAGATTTGATCCCGCACATAGTGGGAGGTCTCAACAATGATCTCTACGCCATCCCAGTCAAATTCAACAAATCCTCTCCACCTGAAAAGTGCAACGAAATCCAGGAATGGGACAAGGAAATCTTACCTCCTGGCTGGGAAAAGCACGAAGACAACGACGGACCATATTATTGGCACATCAAAAGCGGTACCATCCAAAGGGAAATGCCATCAGCATCAGAAAAACAAGACAAAAATTTCAAAGAAAGAGCAGTAACTAGAAGTAGTACTAGTTCAGCATTGGACTTAGATGCAGACAAAAGGAAAGAGGAGCTAGCGTTGAAAAGACGCAGCTTTCCGTCCAAGCCCGAGCCAGAAATCAAGGAAAGACCGATAAGATTTGCCGTAAGGTCTTTGGGTTGGGTGGAAATTGCCGAAGATGATTTGACTCCTGAGAGGAGTAGCAAAGCTGTAAATAAATGTATAGTGGATTTATCTTTAGGGAAAAATGATCTTTTAGATGTTGTTGGTAGATGGGGAGATGTAAGTATAAATAATATATTATATACAATTGATTATTAATTCCAATTCAAAAGGGTAAAGATTTATTCATGGACCTAGATGAAGGAGCATTGAAATTGTTTGATCCAGAGAATCTTACTGTATTGAATACTCAGCCAATACATACTATAAGAGTTTGGGGCGTTGGTAGAGACAATGGACGGTAAGTTATTGAGCTCAAACCCTAACAATCTGTAATTAAATTAACAAAATTCTCTTGCTGCTTCTGTTGCAGTGAAAGGTAAGAAAGCTACAAAAACTTTGCAAAAGAATTATATTAATAGCTTGTGATTCATTTAGGGATTTCGCTTATGTAGCCCGAGATCGTACCACAAGAAAACACATGTGCCACGTGTTCAGGTGCGACATGCCAGCGCGTACCATCGCAAACACTTTGCGCGACATTTGCAAAAAAATCATGATCGAGCGCAGCCTACAGCAAAACTTAGGCAAAGCCATACATGTAGATTCAAATGGTAGAAGTGTGGCAACCAGACCCAGCAATTTGCCAATGGATCATCGTAGACCTGCCAGAAATAGTCAGATATTTGTTTGTAAGTATAACTGAGAAATAAGTACCTACAAGCGAAATTGTGAATATATATTTGTAGCTCAATCGTTTCCAACTCCAATGGAGGAGCCCAAAAAGGTGCTTAGAGCTCAATATTTGGGCTGCGTGCAAGTGTCGCAGGCCACTGGAATGGATGCCCTAAATGAGGCAATCGACCGATTGGGCACCGACAAATGGCAACCGGTTAACATATCAATCGCACCCTCAATGATATCGGTACACCATCCAACAGACGACAGATTGTTGGCGGAATGTCGCGTCCGGTATTTGTCGTTTTTGGGTATCGGCAAAAACATCAAGCATTGCGCGTTCATTATGCACACGGCTCAGGACACTTTTATGGCTCACGCTTTCTATTGCGAACCTTCGTCGGGGGCTCTTTGTAAAACCATAGAGGCCGCTTGTAAGGTAAGAATCGGTCTGTATATAGTTATCTTAGCTGCATATATTTTTCTAATTTTAGTTGTAAAAACTTGAATCCTAGATTATAGTGTGGGTGTGGGTGTAGGTGTAGGTGTGGGTGTAGGTGTGGGTGTGGGTGTGGGTGTGGGTGTAGATGTGGGTATGGGTGCGGTCGTGGTTGGTAGGGTGCCCACCGCTTGGGGTGTTAGCCGTACCCTTTCAAGGTATTTCATCTTCTTGCAGAAGTGTGCAGGGCATTCACAGATTAAATGGGAGACTGACAGTTTTGTGTGAGCGTCTGTACAAAGACAAAGGTGACATGCACGTTGTTGCAAACTTTGCACGTATATGTTTTAAGCCATCCACGTCTGTGTGTGACCGGCTTAAAGACCTATATCCGTTTTGGGTTTCATGTTTTTGCTCATAATATTATGGTAGTCGTATCGGTTCTGCTGTCAGAGGTCAGAGGTATATGACTGGCACTTTCCAAATTTTCAGTGGTTTTTGTAATAAAACAATCAAAGTAGGCTTTTTGGGCAGCCATTTTAAAGTTGGGCAATCCAATCTATATGGCGACCATGGTCAAACAATGAAGGATTTCAATTACCTTCAGACAACCGTGACGTTTTGCTATTACAAAACTGGCCTATTGCTTGTGGAGGATAATTTCTGTAGTTTCTTAATGTATAAACACAAAAGACAAACATATCACAGAGGTTTGACCGTTGTCGCCATATTAAATTTGTGTTTGGATTGCCCTATTGCATTTTGGTAGTTTTATACGAAAAATAACGGTTTTTTGTGGTGCAAGGAATTGAATTTTTGGTAATTTTTAAAGAAAATCTGATTTTTTATCAAGAAAAATGGAAATTTTCCGTTAGTCAACTCCACGTTTCGAAAACATCTAAGGACCAAGCATGATACACACTACTACTACAGAATGACCTATCCTCATAAGGCATGTGTGTAACAAATCCTCCCAACGTCAAAATACCAGTTGTGACGTAGGCAACATGTTATTTCTCGCCTTGACGTAGGCTATTTAAACAGGTGACGACTTAGTTATGACGTCAGAAATGCTAACACACCAATATGGCGGTGATTACTGAAAACGAGGCCTATAATCAATCCTGTAGGTGTGTATCATCCTTGGGTTGAAATTAATGGCGTCTTTTCCACAAGTTCGAAGGGGGCGAATGTTTTCAACTTGAGTTTACAGGGCAGCAAAAAAGAAACGCCATTTTGTATCAACTGTCAAAGAAAATAAGGCCTACTTTTTTTTTGATGTCATAATAAGCAGTGTTGTCATATGCTTTTTTTTTAATTACGAGTCCGAAGGGCTGGAGTTATATGAGCCCGAAGGGCCAAAGTTATACGAGCCCGCAGGGCCGTAGTTATTTTAATCACGAGCCCGGAGGGCCGAGGTTATACGAGCCCGAAGGGCCGGAGTTATTTTAATCACGAGCCTGAAGGGCCGGGAGCTCAGTCTAAGCATTCCTGTAGATGTGTACCTACCATCTTTGAGTAGTTGGTACCATTCAATTAGTAAAATTATAGCATTATAGTCTATAGACTGAGCTCCGGCCCTTCGGGCTCGTATAACTCCGACCTTTTGGGCTCGTATAACTCCGGCCCTTCAGGCTCGTATAACTTCGGCCCTCTGGGCTCGTTATTAAAATAATTCCAGCCCTACGGTCTGGTAAAAAAGATACATTTGAATCAATATCACAAGAAAATGAAGACAAATTGCATCAGAAATTGAAAATCTTCAGTAATTTTAATGGAAATCAGTGAAATTCCCATCGAAATTATTTCAAATTACATGAGAATTGATGGGAACCTTCTTATGGTAAAAAAGATATAACTGAACCAATATCATAAGGAAAATGGAGACAAATTGCATTAGAAATTGGGAATCTTTGGCCATTTCAGTGAAAATCAGTGAATATCCCATTAAAATCATCATTAAAATTGCATCAGAAATTGAAAATCTTCAGTCATTTCAATGGAAATCAGTAAAAATCACATCGAAATCATTTCAAATTACATGAGAATTGATGGAAACCTTCTTCTTGGTAAAAAAGATACATCTGAACTGAATCAATATCACAGAAAAATGGAGACAACATAATGCAAATCTCCATAAGGTACCGCAGATGCGTCATCTAGTTACCTAACTTCAGGAACCTTTAGAATCCTTTAGTTAGTGGTGTATTATCCCTGCAATCCAAAGACGAAGAAAATTCAAGAGCCTGAAATAGAAAAAAATATGAATATTATTCATCACATTTTTCCATCTCAACTTTTGTTTAATTCACCCCACATTTACTACGTTTGCATGGAGTTTCCAAATCGTTTTCCTTGAGACTGAAATCGATTTCAGTACCTGGTTTTCATGGTGTTTTCAATACCAAAACCGTATTCAAAACTCCATAGAAACGTAGTAATTATTTCAAGGTTTACCATTAGGATATGGTAACTCTTTTGCAACAGTCCTGGAATAAGATATCGTCCCTTCCTTAAATCCTTTAACTTTATATCGAATATGGAAAGAATATAATTATAACCTTCTCATTTACCAGATTTAAGCTGCATTGCGTTTTTTTTTTCTTCATGGAACCTAGATAAATTATCTTTACACATAAATTTTAGGGCCATTGGTATAAAAACTCAAAACTCAAAATTCATTTTATTCCAGTTAAGGTACCAGAAATGTTTGGACGCGCACCCGCAAGGGGTTGGATGTGGTACCAACGCCGTCAGTACTCCGGGTACCGGTATCGGAGCAGCACTGAAAAGCATCGTCGGTTCGCTCAGAGGTAGGAAAAGCAAAAGCACCGAATCCTGAGAATCTCATCCAAGCTTAAAGGTGTATATATTGATGGTTTTTAACATTTTAGACTAACAAGAAGTTTTGTTTTCAGCCAGTAAAAGGGATAAAAGTGTCCGCAACTAAAAGGAAAACTAATTTCCTTTAAAACTTCTCCTTTTAGCTTTACCAGTACTAAAAATTCAAGCTAGTACTGACCAGTTATGAGCTTCTTGCACGTTTCCAGGGTATTATTAGCAAAATTTCAATGTGTAGTGACCGTGTACATACGTGTTAAGTTTACAGACGCCCAAAGTACCAAGAAATTTTATTTAGCTGTCACTATTGTACCGAGTAATAGATGTTAAGTAGTTGAACTAAAAACATACGTAATTTTTAAATAAATATATTGAGCGGGACTAATTATATACAGCCATCGATGTGCATTAATATGGAAGGTTCTTGCTAAAATCTAATATTATTTTTATAAGCTTTGATTGTCCACCTTTAATTGTTGCCTCTGGCTTTTGAAACGTATATATAGTCGCTTTCCTTGTAAAAATAATATTATTAAGGAATTGTGGCACCACCGATCTTCAATGGGTAATGTAAATAATTGAATTTTCAAATAAAACGCTACTAAGACTGCTTCGAAAGTCCTTTATTATATCTGCTTAGTGAAGGCAAAATAAATAAAATAATTTTTTTATCAAAAAATTTACGTGTTTTATTATTATGTTATCCTTTTGTACCAAAAAATATATTTGAGTAAGTACCGTGGTAGCAGATGCCTAATATGGTACCGAAAATTTCTACGCATTTTGTAGCTGTTGCCATAAAGAAACGCGCAAGGTCGTACCGTAATTTATCAACGCATGTTTAAATTAACTTCTACTGGTACTGCCTTTAAATTGTGGTTAACCTACAAACAAAAATATTGTTTACTTATAAAATTCTATATGGTGCAATTCTAATGATAACCTTATTGCATTAGTACCAAAGATAATCTGGTTGTTTTGCTTTTAATAGAACCAAATTATCATTTCGAATTAGTTTAAATCCTATTAACGATGACTATAGTGCGTTTTTATAAAGTACCAGGCTGTACGACAGCGAAAAAAGACGAAATCCTAGCAAAACTACAAAAAATATCTAACACAGTCAAAGATGTGGATACGGAAATTTGCTATCACGTAGAAGTTCTCAAACCCCTAACGGACAAGGAAACTAAAACTTTGAAATGGGTTTTGCAAGAGTCTCTTTTGCCTGGAAATCTATCCACCAAGGAGCATTTAATCCCACAAACAGGCAAACTACTCATAGAAGTTGGTCCAAGATTCAACTTTTCCACAGCCAACTCCACCAATGCAGTTTCGATTTGTCAAAACTTAGGCCTATCACAAGTGATTAGATTAGAAGCTTCTAGAAGATATTTGATTACAACTTCTGGCAAAGAATTAGAAGCAAGTTTAGCTAAGGCCCTCCATGACCGAATGACCGAATGTCTTTACACCAAAGACAATTTACCAAAAAACAGCTTCAATGAAAAACTGATTAAAAAAGAGAATCTCAGAGATGTTGATGTAATGGGCAAAGGTGCACAAGCCCTCAAAGACATTGATAAAGAATTAGGCCTGGCTTTTGATGAAGCAGATTTGGCTTACTATACAAACCTTTTTAAAAACATCCTAAAAAGGAACCCAACTAATATTGAATGTTTCGATTTGGCTCAATCTAATAGTGAGCACAGCAGGCATTGGTTTTTCAAAGGGAAAATGGTTATAGATGGGGTGGAACATGAAGAATCGCTCATTGATATGATTATTGATACTCAGAAGCATAGCAATCCGAATAATGTTATCAAGTTTAGTGATAATAGCAGGTAAATATATGTATACATTTTCTTTCTTAGGTTCCTAAAAGTTCATAGGTTGTCTTTTAATGGGTTCCTTGATGACGCATCTGGGGTGAGATTGGTTTGCATTTTATTGAGGCATACAGATGACCTTATAAAAGTTATCAGCCAACCTTGTTTTTAAGAATCTTGGGTCTGTAATACGTCTGAACACCAAAAACAGATTTCTAGAAGACGTTATTGTTTCATAAGATAGAGTTCTATTGAAGCACTATTTGGTACAGGGCTTGGCTGTCTTTCTCCGTCCCTCTACGTTATTTTTTTTTTCTTTCTCGTGTAACGCTGAAATGTGACGCGTCTTTCAAACAAGAAGTTTCACTTCAAAAATGAATTCTAATTCCAAAATATTCAAACCTCAATTGCTCGGTAACCATTGGGCAAATTGCATTGAAATTTCCAGCATTCGTAGCTCTTATTAGGCTCTAAATGGCCTGTAATTTACAATATTCCCAGATTTATAGTTTTTGAGCAAATTGAGTTTGAAGTTTTTGACAAAATTTGGACCAAAAGTCAACTTTGAAGCCCAATTGCTCAGGAACTATTTGAGCGATCAAACTCAATTTTGCACGGATTTATAGAGAATTTAATGCTCTTTCCAATGATATATAATTTATTTCAATTTGCTCGAAATTTAACAAAGATATGGGCAATTGTTCATGACCATGTCAAGATTTTGAAAATTTTCCAGAATCAAATATAGGATTTTCTTGTTATTTTTGTTTCTTTTCAAAATAGCCATTTGGAATTGATGTCAGGGTCGTTTTCCACTAATTTGGACTCGCTCTATCGATTGGTAAAGTCAAAATTGAGCAAAACTGAAAAATAAAAAAATCGAATTTTTCATAACCCCTTTGAATTCTGATTTCAAAATATTCAAACCTCAATTGCTCGGTAACCGTTGAGCAAATTGCATTGAAATTTTCAGCTTTTGTAGCTCTTATGAAGCTCTAAAAGACCAGTTATTTACATTATTGTCAGATTTATAGTTTTTGAGCAAATTGAGTTTGAAGTTTTTGACAAAATTTGGACCAAAAGTCAACTTTGAAGCCCAATTGCTCAGGAACTATTTGAGCGATCAAACTCAATTTTGCACGGATTTATAGAGAATTTAATGCTTTTTCCAATGATATATAATTTATTTCAATTTGCTCGAAATTTAACAAAGATATGGGCAATTGTTCATGACCATGTCAAGATTTTGAAAATTTTCCAGAATCAAATATAGGATTTTCTTGTTATTTTTGTTTCTGCTCAAAATAGCCATTTGGAATTGATAACAGGGTCGTTTTTCCCTAATTTGGACTCGCTCTATCGATTGGTAAAGTCAAAATTGAGCAAAACTGAAAAATAAAAAAATCGAATTTTTCATAAGGGTAACCCCTTTGAATTCTGATTTCAAAATATTCAAACTTCAATTGCTCGGTGACCGTTGAGCAAATTGCATTGAAATTTTCAGCTTTTGTAGCTCTTATCAAGCTCTAAAAGACCAGTTATTTACAATATTCCCAGATTTATAGTTTTTGAGCAAATTGAGTTTTAAGTTTTTGACAAAATTTGGACCAAAAGTCAACTTTGAAGCCCAATTGCTCAGGAACTATTTGAGCGACCAAACTCAATTTTGCACGGATTTATAGAGAATTTAATGCTCTTTCTAATGATATATAATTTATTTCAATTTGCTCGAAATTTAACAAAGATATGGGCAATTGCTCATGACCATGTCAAGATTTTGAAAATTTTCCAGAGTCAAATATAGGATTTTCTTGTTATTTTTGTTTCTGCTCAAAATAGCCATTTGGAATTGATGTCAGGGTCGTTTTCCACTAATTTGGACTCGCTCTATCGATTGGTAAAGTCAAAATTGAGCAAAACTGAAAAATAAAAAAATCGAATTTTTCATAACCCCTTTGAATTCTGATTTCAAAATATTCAAACCTCAATTGCTCGGTAACCGTTGAGCAAATTGCATTGAAATTTTCAGCTTTTGTAGCTCTTATGAAGCTCTAAAAGACCAGTTATTTACAATATTCTCAGATTTATAGTTTTTGAGCAAATTGAGTTTGAAGTTTTTGACAAAATTTGGACCAAAAGTCAACTTTGAAGCCCAATTGCTCAGGAACTATTTGAGTGATCAAACTCAATTTTGCACGGATTTATAGAGAATTTAATGCTCTTTCCAATGATATATAATTTATTTCAATTCGCTTGGAGTTTAACAAGGATATGGGCAATTGCTCATGACGATGTCAAGATTTTGAAACATATTTTCTGTGTCTCAATATGTTTTTTCAAAAACCACACACAACATTAATCTTTGTTGACCTTTTTGATAACGAATAACTCAATATCGACCCCCAGCAAAGATCAACAACAACGTCACAAATATTACCTAATGCCGACCTTGTTTGGATTAATAATAACATTTTTCCATAGTGCCATCAGAGGTTACATCCATCGCAGCCTAAGACCAGCAGCCGCAGGCTCCGTAAGCGAACTACGTCAAGTACCATCAGAGTCCCACCTAATTTTCACCGCAGAAACGCACAATTTCCCCACCGGAGTGGCACCGTTTAGTGGCGCCACTACAGGTACCGGAGGCCGGATCAGAGACGTACAAAGCGTTGGCAGAGGAGGCTATTGCATCGCTGGTACTGCCGGGTACTCAGTAGGCAACCTCCACATACCCGACTACAACCTCTCTTGGGAAGATCCCAGCTTTGAATATCCTGCAAACTTTGCCCCACCTTTAGAAGTGCTTGTTGAAGCAAGTAACGGGGCTTCAGATTATGGAAACAAATTCGGTGAACCATTGATTAGTGGTTTTGTAAGGTCTTATGGACTTGTTGATGCAAATGAACGCAGAGAATGGATCAAACCTATAATGTTTAGTGGAGGAATTGGAAGCATGGAAGCAGATATGACTGAGAAACTTGCTCCACAAGTTGGCCATCAAATAATCAAAATTGGAGGCCCAGTATACAGAATTGGAGTAGGAGGTGGAGCTGCTAGTTCAGTTGAGGTGCAAGGCGACAACAAAGAAGAACTAGATTTTAATGCTGTCCAAAGAGGAGATGCTGAAATGGAAAACAAACTAAACAGAGTTGTAAGGGCTTGTTTGGAATTAGGCAAAAAGAATCCTATTGTTAGTATTCATGATCAAGGAGCTGGTGGCAATGGCAATGTGCTAAAGGAGCTTGTAGAGCCTCAAGGAGGCATCATTTACGCTAACAGATTTGAGCTTGGAGATCCTACAATAAACCTCTTAGAACTGTGGGGGGCAGAATATCAAGAAAACAATGCCTTGTTGTGCAAAAAAGAAGACCTAGAAACTTTAAGGGTGATTTGCAAACGAGAAAGATGTCCAGTGAATGTTGTAGGTGAAGTAACTGGAAGCGGAAGCGTGGAACTTGCCTCTGACGAAACCAAAAATGTAGTACCTTTCAATCTCAAACTGGACCACGTACTTGGAAAAATGCCCAGGAAGGTTTTCAAGCTGGAGAGGAAAGTACCTGTGTTGGAACACCTAAAACTACCTGGAGCAATTTCGATTTTCCAATGCCTTGAGAAGGTTTTGAGGCTGCCTTCTGTTGCAAGCAAAAGATATCTTACTAATAAAGTGGACAGGTAATTATTAGTGTAATATATATGTAGGATTTAATAATATACCTATATATATTTTTTTTAAAGATGTGTTACTGGTTTGATAGCTCAGCAGCAATGTGTAGGCCCCTTGCACACCCCTTTAGCAGATGTTGCTGTGACTGCCTTATCTCATTTTGGATATGTATGTAATATTTACTTATATTCCACAACTAAATACTATATTATTCTAGGAAGGTATAGCTTCATCTATTGGCGAACAACCAATCAAAGGCCTAGTCAATGTTGCAGCAGGAGCTAGAATGTCTGTAGTGGAAGCTATTAGTAATTTAGTTTTTGCTAATATAAGTGACTTAAAAGATGTAAAGTGCAGTGGTAATTGGATGTGGGCAGCAAAATTACCTGGAGAAGGTGCGGCTCTTTACGATGCCTGCAAAGCAATGTGCCAACTGATGTCAGAATTGGGCATCGCTGTGGATGGCGGCAAGGATTCTCTAAGCATGGCAGCTAGAGTTGGAAAAGACACAGTCAAAGCACCTGGTACTTTAGTTGTGTCCACCTATGCCCCTTGTCCCGATATAAGAAAAGTTGTCACACCTGACTTCAAAGCCCCATCAATGGGCAAACAAGGGGTACTACTTTTTGTTGATCTATCGCATGATGCTAATCGCTTAGGTGGTTCTGCGTTGGCTCAATGCTTCAAACAACTTGGTACTGAAGTACCAGACCTGCGCAGTGCCAAAGATTTAAGAAACGCTTTTGCTGCTACTCAAGAATTGATCAGAGATGGTGCTGTTTTAGCCGGACATGATGTCAGCGATGGAGGACTAATAGTAACATTGCTTGAAATGTGTTTTGCTGGTCTATGCGGCATGGATGTTAATATAAAACACAGACAAGGCAAATCAATTCCGATTTTATTCTCAGAAGAAGTTGGATGGGTTTTGGAGGTCTTAGAAAAAGACGTCGGACATTGTTTGTCAGTTTTCCAAGGCTATCAAGTGCCTGTATTCGATATAGGCCGCAGTTGCGAGTACGGCATTAAATCCCAAATAACAATCCAAGTCAACAATGCTTGTTTGGAAAGTACCGTTTTGCCATTGATGCGCATGTGGGAAGAGACAAGTTACAAGTTGGAGTTGAGGCAAACTAGCAAAGAGTGCGCCGATGCGGAGTTTGCCTCTTTGCCTCAACGCACAGGACCTAAATACAAGTTAACATTTGATCCTGATTTCGATAATGTAATCAAAGAGGCCAAAATACCTGTGGCTGTTATAAGAGAAGAAGGCATTAACAGTGATAGGGAAATGGCTGCTGCACTAGTACGGGCTGGATTTAAAGTCTACGACATTGCAATGCAAGATTTGTTAACTGGTGAAGCCACATTGGATAGATTTAGAGGAGTAATATTTCCTGGTGGTTTTAGTTATGCTGGTAAGTATTTAAATAATTCAAATTAACAAATACTAATTAAATGATTGTAGATGTTTTGGGTTCAGCTAAAGGCTGGGCTGCAAGTATCTTATTTCATGATACAGTCAAGCAGCAATTTACCAAATTCTTCAATCGTCCAGATACTTTTAGCTTGGGTGTTTGCAATGGTTGCCAACTCATGGCCTTAATTGGCTGGGTTGGTACCCCTTTGGAAACCGAATACACTATACCAGATATTACTTTGGAGCACAACAAATCAGAGCGATTTGAATGCAGATGGAGCACTATTAAAATCCAGAAATCAAAATCAATTATGCTTGAAGGCATGGAAGATTCTTCGTTTGGAGTATGGGTTGCACACGGGGAAGGTCGTTTTGCCTTTAAAGATTCTACAATTTACAATAAATTGGTTAAAAACAATTTGGTTGCACTGCGTTATGTAGATGATAACAATATGCCTACAGAAGCTTATCCAATGAACCCCAATGGTAGTGTTGAAGGTTTGGCAGGGGTTTGTTCGGACAATGGTAGACATTTGGCGATAATGCCGCATCCGGAACGTTGTGCGCAACCTTTCCAGTGGCCTTACATGCCTCCTGATTGGATTCACTACCAGAGGAGTCCTTGGGAGAGGATGTTTAAGAATGCTTTTGATTGGTGCACCAAGAATAAGTTCAACAATGTTTACTATTGATTATTTGAAACATTCCTACATTTTTTTTTTATTGTTGTTATAAATATATATATTATTGTATTGATGGGGCTTTTATTATGGATTCTTCCAAGGTATTGACATGTTTTGATAGGTTTATAAGGTGTTTGGTAGGTAAATATACCTTTTTTGCTTGTCAATTGTTATATATACCTTAGGTACCTATATACTTAGACCTTACCTGTTACTCAAAGGGAAACAACTATAGCCAAGCAGAAAATTACAGATCCATAACTTTATTTGAACACACTGTATAAATATCCAACCTTTCCAACGACAATTTAAAAACCTATAGTGCCTGGAATTTACAAAAAATGAAAAGGTCTGTTCCAAAAACTGTCCCAAGAATGGTTTCGGAGTCACTCTGTATACGAATTTTTTGGTTTTGCGCAAAATCTTGACGGTTTTCTGCTTTCTTGGAACAAAGCTAAAACTTTTTAAAAAAAATCAATACTATAATTCGGCCTTATATTGTTACTTACTAGAAAATAGGGATTTACATATACCGTCGGGTTGGGGTACCGCTATTACTCTATTACGCAATAGCTTTTTTTTGCCCCACTCACTTATTCATATTTATATTTATTACCCTTATCTGTTTACCTTTTTTTTTGGGGGGTTTTTGTGGGACAAAGGGATTTACATTTTAGATTAGTCAGTCGGTGATCTGTCACCGGAGATGTAGGTAGTACCGCAAAGTGGCTTCCGAGAATTTTCGATGTTTTTCTCAAACAAGTTAAGATTTTCCGACTATTGTGTCATGTGCCCATAGTGTAGGTACCCAATTGACTTTTGGATTTTGGTAAGTAGTACCAACAATTATTTTTTTGGTAATTGGGATTTATTGGATCTTGAATAAACAACCCTTGATTTTTTTAATGTGTGAGTCTGGAACAATCCAGAATTTTTTTATTCATATATTTTCTTTTTTTAAATTCAAATTATGATTCTTTTGATTCTCTTTAACTATGGGCAATGAGTAAACTATACAGGGTGTCCAAAATTAGTTTTCTAGAAAATCTTTCGCGCATATTTCCATTATATTTTTTTTTTTTTTTATTTGGCTTTCCAAAAGTGCGTTAATGAAGAAAGTATAGATGATTTGTGTAAAGGATGAATGATCCAGGGATGCAGATTGTTGTGAGATAGAATGCTGGGCTCTAGACTGTTGGAATAGAATGCTGTATGCTGGATGTAGGTATTGTTGTAATAAAGTGCTATAGAGTGTCCCAAAAAAATTAATTTTTGCCCAGTTTCCAATTGAATAATGGCCACTGTAAATCCATATAGCTATAGTGTCACTGGATAATTATGGATTTGTGTCTCAAAATAAATCTTAATTATTGTAAATTTCAATAAGCCACTACCACTAGCAACAACCCAACTAACCCAACACAACTAACCCATATTAACACCTTGGGGTAATTGCTAATGGCAGTCCACTAAGCATTTCCAGCTATTTCCAAAATGATACAAACATCTTACACAATAATACTCTATAGCTGATTGCTATAAAGATAGTATTAGCTATCCAGTTATGTAGCTATATTTTTTAAAAAGGCAATTTTTTTGAGACACTCATCATGGAGGTTTTGAGTGCACTTTTGGAAAGCCAGTCATTAACGTACAATGAGTTTTGGCCCTAAAAAATTTTGAATATCCGACATTGTTTCACAAAATCGCCCATAACTCAATCAATATTTCACAAATTCTAATGCATATTTATATATTCTTAATCAGAATTCGATTCTCTTTAAGATAAAATAAGATTGAATCATTTATCTCAGATAGTTTCCGAGATATTGAGCCTCGAAGTTGAAACTTTGTTTTAAATTTTGAAAAACCTTAAAAGCTGATTATCTCGAAAACGAAGCCCTTGGGCTCGGTGTCTTAAATAACCTTTTTTGAAGCCCCAATCAAGATATACAAGTAGGCAAAATTTCGTGCTGATAGCTTGTCTGGTTCCACAAATACGGCCCATTGAAATATTTGAAAATGAAATTTCCTTGCATACATCCCTAGGAAAAATGGGAATTTTGATTTTTCCAAATTTTTCAATTTTTGACTTCACGAATCAAAAAAGGGGATCAAATTTAGTGGAAAAGCGTTTTTGTGATTTTTGTTTTCGAGGTTTTAATGCCTGTGAAAAATTAAAATAATTTTTGTCTTTTTTGACCTAAAAAATTTTGATTATCCGACATTGCTTTACAAAATCGCTCATTTCTCCACTAATATTTTACAAATTTCAATGCAAATTTATGTATTCTAAATCAGAATTAAATGCTCTTTAAGATGAAATAAAATTGAATCCTGTATCTCAAATAGTTTTCGAGATATTGACCCTCAAAGTTGAAACTTTGTCCTAAATTTTGGAAAACCTTAAAAACTGATTATCTCGAAAACGAAGCCCTTGGGCTCGGTGTCTCAAATAACCTTTTTTGAAGCCCCAATCGAGATCTACAAGCAAACAAAATTTCATGTTGATACTTTTTCTGGTTTTCCATTTAGGCCACGTCGGACATATACAGGGTGACAATTTATTTACAGTTATGGGGTTTTATTTACCATATCTGATGCATAATAAGTATCCAATGGGTATCTACATAAAAATAGTTGTTAGTTTTGGCCACTGGAATAATGATCATTCTCAAAAGGTTTTTCATCACATTTCCGTAACAATATGAAATTGGTGTTTTGTGCATTTCAGCAAGTAAAGGGCCCCATTTACGTATCGATTCACGTTTCAAGTATCAGTATTTTCTTACAATTCTCATTTTGTATTAGTAAATTAATTTATCGTGATACAAAATTGCCAGTTGACTGAGTGTTAATCCCTCGGTTTTAAGCCTCTGGAGAATTATTCCAGGCTTTTACTCACATTCTCTGACTTCTATATTAGATATATTTTTCTTTGAAGTCTTCAATCAAGTGCCAAGTTTGTTCTGGTCTCTACAAGACAAGTAGAACGTGTGTCTTTTTTTTTGCAATCACTGATTTTTTGACATTTTTGTCCCTTTTGTGAAGTTTGTACAAAATTTACTATAATTAAAGTTATCACTATTTAGTGAATAATTGTAAGTGTTTTCTTGGCTATAAGCCAAGAATTGTTCTTACAAGAAATTCGCCCTATATGGATAAATCCTGACTGTTCAGGTGTGGCATTCAACGGTTTTGTTGCCATTATTGGCTGGATAAAGAAGAAAAATAAAAACTATTCTGTTTATACAACATGGATATAAATCTCAGATAAACATGTATTGATACCGATCTCAACGTGAATAGGGCCCTTTGATAGAAGGATTTTATCTATCTCAATATTATTATTATACCTAATCATCCTTAGTTAAACATGATGTTGTGTATTAGACTTTAAAAACATTTTGCTGTAAATGTTTTTAGTAACAAATTATTGAAGTTGCGTTTCACTGATTATCGAGAGCAACAAATTAGGATTTGATTATTGCTTTCTGGTAATTGGTGTCCCCTGGGGAGGCCGTCCACCATAATAGGTTAGGATCCCATTTGTTGCACGATTATACTATACATGGTAAGTGTAGCAGTGGGGCACTAACGAATACATGCGAGAAATGATCGAATGTCAGCTGCACAACGTGAATATTCAGCCTAATGGGGCTTTAATATAGAATAGCTGAATGCTCTTCAACTTTGCCGCAGGCAGATGAAGAGTCAAGTAATCATGTTTTATATTATATTGTAACTGAAATCAAATGGGGGGCAAGTCTCCAAAACAGGAGGGGTTATATTGGAAATAGGATATAGGATATTATAGGACAACAATTGAAACAAGATAATGTTTTTATATAGAATCTTTAATCCCACGCAGAAAGGTAGGTAACGTCATACACCAAACAAAATATGATGGGTAAACTTTACCAAACCATCTTTTCTACCTAATTCTATAACATCTTATTTAGTGAGGTACAAAGAGAGAGAAGGATATAATAGACTGTCTAGACTTATCTGCATAATTTATTTATTTATTTATTGTTTCTCTGAAGACTCTATTTTGAATGTACGTATTAAATAAAGAAGTACCTATTTTACAATATGCAATAGGATTTATTTTTGTTGTATTAATAATCCAACAGGTAACATTTTCAAAATCTTCCCAATTAATATTCCTGATTGCTACTTTTTAAATTGTCACCCTGTATATGTTTGACCATTGTATATTGACGTACCTACACTTAAGCGTATCCAGGCTGTGTCAATCATAGGTGCCCAACGATATGTGTATTTCCTTATAGGATTTTAAAGCAGAATATATCGGTATACCTACTTTAGTTTGGGCAAATTTGGCTATTTACTATGTTTTTTTGACATTTTTGAACATCGTATTATGCCTATCTAGCTTTTCCAAAGAGGTCAATGGTAACAATATAATTTATCATTTCAGCCTACTCTTTGATAAAAATTAAGAGAAAAACACACGTGACCCTGTGAGATATTTTCTCAATATACACGTGACATGCTATATGTGTTAAATGATTTATGAGAATTTGGTCAATTATAGTAGGCCTAATAGTCCAGGAGCCGAATTAGTTATCTGGAAAAATCTGGACACTTTTTCTCAAGATTTGTTTGTGAAAATCTGAAACTTTGTATTGACATATTATGTTCTTTATGTTTATGTGAGCATTTTCTTTACTTTTATTAAAAAAAACGTTACTTTCAAATTCGGGATTATGATGCCTCAACTTGTGATTAGGTATAGAGGGTGGTCCACTATAAATTGAGTGTTATCCAAGTTATTTTGTTTTATAATCTTGGTTCTAATTTCTTCTTCAGTGTTGTTAAATTCAGACTCACACTTGATGTTTCATATGAATGCGTTTTTCATGTTACTTACTCTACAAACAATTTTTTCACTCAAAAACTAAAGTGAGTGGAAAGTTGAAATTTTGAGGACATTTTCTCATAGATTCAATCTAAAAAATACTAAAAACTCAAAGGGATTGAGTTATTGAGGCTCTTTTAATGTACGGTGGCCAAATTTCTTGTATTAAAAAGCTGCATATAACCAATTAACGATAAGGGGCTACGTTAATCACCCTGTATATACATGAACAATTTTTTCTGCCGCTGTGTTATTTTTTCCAGGTGAGCCTCCCTGTAAGCAAACAGAATACAGAAGTTGTCGGATGACTCTCAAAGAGTCTATAATAAGAACCTTTTTCTAGAGGGATTTTTGACAAGTAGGTAGGTACTAACATATTCATTAATTTCCCATTTTATTATTATTTTTCACTGGAAATTTTAGTATGATGAGCTCCTAATTTTCCTCTTTTTCTCCTGAAAGTTTCACTATTTTCCTTTCAGTAGTTTTCCAGAAAAATATTAAATAGGTAGTATATAAGACTGCATTTCATTGATATCCATAAAAATTCTCTTTCTTAGGTAGGTAGGTAAGCCTTCTTCTAACGTTACCCGACAAAATCCAGAATATTCTGAGCCCAATCAAGTAGAATAGGCTATTAATTATTTCTGGTAAAAATCCTAATTGAAGTGTGTAAGTGCAAGGTAATAGTACATTTTTCACATATACAGTAGAACCCCGATTATCCGAGTCGCAATTATCCGAGGTCTGGATTAATCGAGCCAGTCTTAAGACCCAAAAATCCTGATTATCCGAGGTACACACGTCCATACTCCGTATTAACCGAGTTTCTAGAATATACATACATATATACATATAGGTTCTGAGACCTATTTAGCCCTTAGACTGATACCCCAGAAAATACCTTCTATTTATAACTGGCCAGTCACGAATACCTACACTCTTAAGATTATCCGAGTTTTCAGTTATCCGAGGTGGGTACTACTCCACGTTACTTCGTATAACCGGGGTTCTACTGTACCTACATTAGTGCTTTAGTATTTTGAAATGAAATAAAACACACACATTGCTGTGTTGCCAAAATGGTTTCATTCTATTCGAAAGACCAACTAATTACAATTGTGTTTTAAAATAATGACTCCCACGCAGTCAATGGCATATATGGACTCATGCAGTCATATTACAGTTGCATGCAGTCATAATACAGTTGCATGCAGTCATAAAACAGTCGCTTGCAATCGTCATAAATTCCGTGTAGTCACATGCAGTAGTGTACACACGAAAAATCGTAAGCAGTCGCTGCGAGTAGAGGCTGCAATCTTGTAAGATACCTATTGCTCAAAACTCAATGCAGTCAACTATCATCTTTAATACAATCATAATGCAGGTGTACAAAATTTAGTGGGTGAAACACCCCTTGGAACTACCAAATATTTTTTTTTCAAGTGTACAGTGTGCCTTATATTTCACTTCAAAATCCTAATTGGATCACCCTTTATAATAATCGAGCATTTGGTTGTAAACTTCTCATTCACTCAATAAACAAATTGAAATTCCATTTCATCAATATCCTCCAACATTGGTGGTTTGAGCGTTTCTTTTCGGTACTAGCTGCGCCGCGGGGAACCTAATGCCATAGTTGTCCTGGATCTCATTTGTTGCACTAATATACCTCACGGGTATGTGTAGCAGTCGGCAAAACATACGGGCGAGAGCGGGTTGAATTCACGGATATGCTGTTGGGTGTTGGTACAATGTAATTTCGATATTGGATCAAGCCCAAAAGGGACACGGAACAGCTGAATGCTCTCTTTGGATAATTCTGATTTGTGTGTTCCAGATGAAGACAACATCATTCCTGGATATAAAATTCGCCTCACGAGTCCAGCACTATGGAAAGAATGCGGATAAAAAAATCACAATATCGCCTATTTGACTTCCAATAGAAAATACCTTATTTATCTATGTTACACACCTACATTTATAAGGAAAAAGTAATATTTAAAAAGGCTGTGCGCACGCCTATGACAGGCAGCATAAAGCTCGAAATGAATGGCGTTATTCCCCCTTGCCTTTCAGACGTCGTAGTGCTAGACTCGTAAGGCGAACTATATAGCCCCTTCAAGTTTACTGGATACCTCTAAAAAAATAAATAGAAATTCCCTTTTCCGTGTTGTTTTACTTTTCAGGCCCTGGACACTGTTGGATATTATAGGGTAGGATGCTTTGGACATCGTTGGATAATCTAGGGTAGGATGCCTTGGACACCGCTGAATATTTTATGTTTTTCAATGTTGGATATTGGAAGCTGAATAAATAGGTACCTAATTTCTATAACATTTAAATTTTCATTAACATAAAGTTGTTTTTTCCAGGCATTCCTTTTCCAAATTGAACCTGGAAATGAGCTGGTTTTGGCCCTGGATATGATACAAATGACCACCTTTAACGCTCCTAAATCCAGTTTGTCCTTTTTCAGTTGGAAATAGTTTTGGCTCTAAACAAATGAATCAAGTTTGGGTGGTTAGGTAATAATAACCATACAATACATTTATTTAACATTCCAGGTTTCTCCTTTCTATGTAAATAAATAATAAAAAAAAGGTCATCATTGCTTTGGACATTGGACAGCTTTTCTTGTAAACTGGTTGTCACTCTGGACATGGGACAAATGACTGGGAATGGTGGACATTGGGGCCACAACTGACTGACAATGATGGACATGACTGCATGGATCCAAACTTTAATTACTTTCATTACTTTTCCCTTTCAGGTGAAATTACACATGTGTCAATTCCCGAAAAACAGTTCATGATTCGACTGAATCTTTAAAGCAGGGAAGTCCCGGGGGAGCCTAATGCCATAGTTGTCCTGGACCTCATTTGTTGCACTAAATATACACCGTAAGTATGGTAAGTGTTTGCAGTGGTGTCTTCCTAGCTGGCGAGTGAAGGTTGAATTAATGGATAGTTGACGGTTTTGGTTGTACAAGTGTAATTTCAAAGTGCATTAGGCCTAATGGGGAAAGCACTTGAAAAAAAAAACGCGCCGACAGCTCGTACCTCTATAAGGTGGTGTGGAAACTGGGCTTAATCAAGTTACAATTGGCAAACGTAATAAGGTAAGTTATTGAAAATAAAACTTATTAAAATTATAAACCTTTTGTTACAGGGCAGCACTAATAACCAAGAGTTTTAATCTTTTAAAACTGCAAGACTTATTGTGACTGGAATCCAGACTTCATGGTAAGAACTTGAAAATCTGGACACCATGGTAAGATTTTACTGTTTGTTGTCTAGTCTGAAATCAAGAGCCAGACCAATTTCCAGATTCAAATTGGGAAAAAAATTGTTTTTCAATGTTTCAAGATTGAGTTAATTTTTCCAGGAAAAAATATCTCAGAACAACTTCCCAGTTTCCAGGGACAAAATTCAAGTTTGGAAAATTTGTTTTCATGATTTATTTAGCTTTTTTGATCTATTTTGGCTATGGAAGTTGTGTTTTGGAGTAATGAAAGGGCATTTTACACGAGTTTCCAGACTCTGAAATTGGAAATTTGAAATTTTCCGTCAATTTTTGTATATTACAGGCTCTTGAATTGATTTCTATTATCTCAATATCCATAAGAGGTATCGTGCCAATCTTTTCTAAGATTGTAGCTCTTACTGGATGCTTTGATGTGGTATTTGAGAAATATTTGTAACACCAGTGGTTTTTGAGCAATTTCAACTTAAAATTTTGGTTGAAATTTAAGCAAAATTACAACTTTGAGGCTTAATTTCTCTAAGCTTATCGACGCAACTTTATTCATATTTGGAAGATTTATAGAGAATTCAATCCTCTTTCAGAATATCTATAATACAAGTCGATTTGTTGAAAATTACGGAAACTGTGAGCAAATGTTTAAGACCATGTCAGGACATCAAAATTATAACATATAGTAGCCTGTACCGTAATAAAACAATTATTATTTTTAAGGCAGATATAAAAAATTTATTATAATAATATTATATAAATATCAATTACTAATCAATTAAAAACTACTAATTATTATTATTTCATTAGTAAATACATTTGGTATATAGGTACAAAGAGTTTGAGTGAAAAATTCTATTTCCAATAATCTCTTAATAAAACACAAATACAAAAATAAAATTAATACAGAGGGGTCATAATAAAAAAGTCCAGATACCATATTATATTTTATAACTAATTTGTGTATGTCTAATGCCTGTATTACATCTGATGTGTATTTTTCCGTGTATTTCTTCCTGAACTATATGAAAAAAATACACGATGTAATAGGGGCCTAATAATAAATTATCCTCAATCTTAACTCAATAATTGAGCAATTTAATGGCAGCCAAATTCAAATTCATAACTTGAATTACTGCTACATATAACTAATCTATATAATAAGGCCATTTTTCCTAAGCTTGAAAAATAAAAAAAGACTGAGGATCAACAATAAGGCTAAAAATCCTGGAATAAAGTACCTATATACAGATAATACTTTAAAAAAAAATACTTTCGTTTGTAAAATAAAAGCATTTGAGTGATGACAAACTATATAAACTAAAAAAAAAACATCACAAACACCTCATATACAAATCACAATAATAAAAATCTCTTCTATCACATATTATTTTTCCAATCAATTGGGCAAATTTAACGATTGTGAAACAGTTTTATCCTTAAAACGAAATAGGCAATCACCCTGAGGAAAATAAACAACCCCGTCAACACCCCAATATCAATAAAATAAGTTTCCATATCCCCTTTAAAGCCCATCTCATTTAAAAACGTACTTGGATACTTGAAATGGCAATAGTCCAATGTACAAGTCAACTTTGGCCTATTTAAACCGTAAATAGCAACCATGGTACCTTCAAAGCTGTACTTTACATAACTCAAATAAGGCAACCAGGAAAAATAAAAGGGGATGTCTTCAAGTTTGGCAAAGAATCCTGAGAATAGTACCATTGGGATTGTGGAGATTGGACCAAGGAATACTCCACTCTATAGTTAAAATAATATATTAAAATATGATTTCTGATTTTGTTGATGTAAGTACTTTACCTCTATATTGAATGCTGCCCCAACTAGAAGCCCAAAGCTTTGAGACACTAAAGCTGTAAGTACCGCAATGAGTAAAAACATGAAGAATCTTGTTGGGTCTAAAGGTTGGTCGGTGATGAAGTAGACTCCCACAATGTAACATGTTGTTAGGATTATCTGGAATTTGTATTATAATATGTGTTTTTACAATTAAACCTATAATTACTTGAAAAGGTATGTCAGCTAAAGTTTTGGCAAAGTAGTACGCCTTCAATGAGTACCAGTAGTTTAAATGTTCTCGTACAAATACAGACATTTCCAATGGAACTGCAATGAAACAAAGTTAGTTATACAATGTCTTAAAAAATAGTCCCTTACAAGTCAATATGGTAGGCATCATAGCGGTGAACATCATAAACATGACAGTGAAAAAGAGACAACCTGCATTGCTCATCACTTTAGCAGCATCATTGCCTATACCATAGAAAATAGCCCCAATAAGTACTCCAATGACGAAATGAGCCACCAGTCTTAGTCTTGTAAGAGTTTTATCTCTGTAAAACATAATTCATTATTACCTAGTACTTATAATACACGCATTAGTTACCTAAAAATTATAAAAACACTTCTAACAAACAAAATCCAAAATTGTCGCAGCCCCGAAGTGGGAAACCCATGTTTGTCCTGAGTCAAATTCTCAGATGAGTCCAGCAAAGAGGTTGTACAAGTAGGCCCTGGCAATTTGAGGCATTCTCCGTTCGATTTGGCAATGTCGTTGGTCAGTTTTCGGCTTTCCAAAGCCTTGGATTGGTTGCAACGGCCTGCGTTCACTGCTACTACTAGTTTTTGGACGTAGTCGCCGTGTTCGCCGCAAGCTACTTCCATAACTGGAATAGATTCAATGGATTTGTTGATCAAGAAAGCTCAGAAATAGAATTGTAACATATATATAGTCTTACTGAGCAAGTTATTTAACGTGTTTTTTCATTGTTTCCAGCACGAAATTGCCTATAAAGGTCATTACGAAAATGAATTGGAAAAGTTTCGAATAATAATCACACAAGTCTATATTTAAGCTGGATCGATATGTCCAGAGGATTGTTATTAAGTTTCCTTTGAATATAATTTAATGTGCTTGTTGTGGTAGCGGAAACGCAATATTTCAATTGAACCTAATTAAGGCTCGATTTATTCATCTTTAGTTAAACTTATTACTGGGTGATAGGGTTATAGATTGCATTACCTGCCACCCTACCACTTAAAGCATCAAATGCAGCAGGTACAGCAACCGTTGGGCAAATTGCATTGAAATATTCAGCATATTTGCCTCTTATCAAGCTCTAGCTGGCCTGTAATCTACAATATTTCCAGATTTATAGTTTCTGAGCAAATTGAGTTTTTACAAAATTTGGACTAAAAGTCATCTTTGAGGCTAAATTGCTCAGAAACTATTTGAGCAATCAAACTCAATTTTGCACAGATTTATAGAGAATTTAATGCTCTTTCCGATGGTATATAATTTATTTTAATTTGCTTGAAATTTAATAAAGATATGGACAATTGCTCATGACCATGTCAAGAATTTGAAAATTTTCCAGAATAGGATTTTCATTTTATTTTTGTTACTGCTTAAAATGGCCATTTACAATTAATGTCAAGGTTGTTTTCCACTAATTTTGACCCGCTCTATCGATTGGTAAAGTCGAAATTGAGCAAAACTGAAAAATAAAAAAATCGAGTTTTTCATAAGGGTAACCCCTTTGAATTCTGATTTCAAAATATTCAAACCCCAATTGCTCAGTAATCGTTGAGCAAATTGCATTGAAATTTTCAGCATTTGTAGCTCTTATTAAGCTCTAAATGGCCTGTATTTTACAATAATCCCAGATTTATAGTTTTTGAGCAAATTGAGTTTAAAGTTTTTGACAAAATTTGAACTAAAACTCAACTTTGAGGCTCAATTGCTCAGAAACTATTTGAGGTATGAAACTCAATTTTGAATGGATTTATAGAGAATTTAATGCTCTTTCTTACGATATATAATTTATTTTAATTCGCTTGAAATTCAACAAAGATATGGACATTTGTTCATGACCATGTCAAGATTTTGAAAATTCTTCAAAGCCAAAAATAGGATTTCTTTTTCATTTTTGTGTCTGCTCAAAATGGCCATTTGAAATCAATGTCAGGGTTGTTTTTCACTAATTTTGACCTGCTCTTCCGATTGGTAAAGTCGAAATTGAGCAAAACTGAAAAATAAAAAAATCGAATTTTTCATAAGGGTAACCCCTTTGAATTCTGATTTCCAAATATTCAAATCTCAATTGCTCGGTAACTGTTGGGCAAATTGCATTGAAATTTCCAAAATTTGTAGCTCTTATTAAGCTCTAAATGGCCTGAAATTCACAGTATTCCCAGATTCATAGTTTTTGAGCAAATTGAGTTTGAAGTTTGTGACAAAATTTGGACTAAAAGTCAACTTTAAGGCTCGATTGCTCAAAAACTATTTGAGCAATCAAACTCAATTTTACATGGCTTTATAGAGAATTTAATGCTTTTTTCAATGGTATATAATTTATTTCAATTTGCTCGAAATTTAACAAAGATATGGGCAATTGTTCATGACCATGTCAAGATTTTGAAAATTCTTCAGAGCCAAAAATAGGATTTTCTTTTCATTTTTGTGTCTGCTCAAAATGGCCATTTGAAATCAATGTCAGGGTTGTTTTCCACTAATTTTGACCCGCTCTTTCGATTGGTAAAGTCGAAATTGAGCAAAACTGAAAAATAAAAAAATCGAGTTTTTCATAAGGGTACCTACCCCCTTTGAATTCTGATTTCAAAATATTCAAACCCCAATTGCTCGGTAACCGTTGAGCAAATTGCATTAAAATTATCAATATTTGTAGCTCCTATTAAGCTCTAAATGACCTGTAATTTACAATATTTTCAGTATTATAGTTTTTGAGAAAATCGAGTTTGAAGTTTTTGACAAAATTTGGACTGAAAACCAACTTTGAGGCTCGATTGCTCAAAAACTATTTGAGCAATCAAACTCAATTTTACATGGATTTATAGAGAATTTAATGCTCTTTCCGATGGTATAAAATTTATTTTAATTTGCTCGAAATTCAGCAAAGATATGGGCAATTGCTCATGACCATGTCAAGAGAAATTCCAGAGCTGATGATGGATTCTCCATCAGTTTGCTTTTATTTGCAATATCAACACACTTTCTAGGTGTACAACCACAGTTCACAACTTCTCCATTCAAACTCTACAAAATCATCTACATATTGAGATTGGTGAACTACTAGACACACCAATTCCCTCCTAAAAATCCAAAAGTTCTTACCATAATCGGCAGGATTGTGATAGCTGGGACAATTCAAACCCATGCTGGACAAAAACGGTACCAAATTCATCACTGGCCCCCTGTAGACGCACTGGCCTTCGGCCAACATGTACAAGTTGTCGAACATCTCAAACAGCCTTGCAGAAGGTTGATGAATTGTGCATATTATAGTCCTACCACCTCTGGCAAGAGATTTCAACAGGCATAAGCACTAAAACAACAAAAATTGAATTTTCAGGTTGATCAGTAGATGAAATTCCTACTTGAAAACACGAAGAACTATCCAAACCGCTAGTAGGCTCATCAAAAAACATAACAGGAGGATTATTAACCAACTCCAAAGCAATAGACAACCTTTTACGTTGTCCACCTGATAAACAAACCGAAGCTGTATCTGTACACTCTAGTAGGCCTAAAATATCCAAAACTTCATTAATGACTGCTTTCTTTTCGCTATACGAAACCGATTTGCCGATTTTGAGATTCGCTGAGACCGTCATCGCTTCATTAACTGTTAAGTGGGGCGACAAACAATCATCCTGCATAATGTAGCAGGACATTTTTCGGAAACGCCGCAAGCTGCGTTCTTTTCCGTTGATCAGTACTGAGCCTTCAAGATTTGATGTCCTAAAATAATGATTTAAAAGGGGATGAATTTGTAATTATAGTTGTAGTTTACAAGTATGTACCTGTATCCAGCTAAGATGTTCATTAGGGTACTTTTTCCAGCCCCAGAAGGGCCCATAATGCCAGTGAGTTCTCCTGATTTGAATTTTCCATTTACGCCTTTGAGGATTGTTTTGTAGCCGCGTCTGCGGCCTTCAGACACTGAATATTTTAGATCTGGAAATGTTATTTCATTGATTGACACAGTAAGTACCTTTGTTTATCCAAAACCAAGTTGGATGGGTTCTAATATCCAACTTACTTGGTCCAAGCACACTTGGACTAGAAAAACTTACCTATAAATTGTATGTCGACTGGAGCTCTTTTGGATAAATGCGTCAGAGTGATGTTGATTGCCTTTTTTGAGTGATTTGGTACCTTTTTGAGGCTGTTGGCTTTGGCAATTTGGACATTATTGGATGAACCATTGCACAGGTTCGATTGGGAACCACTATATATCAAAAAAAATATATATATAAAATCTCATAAATCACATCACATCAATAAAAAACTCTGTTTATGTATCAGTACCACCTGGGTATCCTTGGACTTTGTGCAATAGAACCCAAAGGAAATTATAGAAGAAAAAAAATTGCAAAACAAAGTTAATTGTCGTACTGGGTACTACTAATTTATTGTTTTTTTAAGTGCATGTGCACCTGAAACATTGCATTTTCTCTGTTTTCATTGATATTAATGTAGTTTTGAGTCATCGTTTTCATTGTTGTAGATTAGAGAATCAATTCTAGATGATTTGCTTATTAATGCGTTAGACAAAGTAGGTACCTAATATAATAATTATAATGTTATTTATTTGCTTTTTGGTTAAACAAAAACACTTCCACAATCTGTATCCGCTGGGAAATAAGTCTGGATTACAGTTAAATGATAAACAAATAGAATTCCTTTTTACCTCATCATCGAAGCATTGTTCAGAGATTCAGGTGGTGAATAGACGGTGCCAGTTTTCGCATTGTAAGCTACACAGTCTTGATCTTCTGAATCGGGTACCGGTACGTTGATTTGGTCTGTTAGTGCCATCACGTCATTTGAGTTGGTTTTCTGCATGAAAAAAATGTGGTACCAAGTCACTAATCGATGAATTACTGAACATCATGGACAAGAGACATGATAAATTATTAAAAGTACTTTAGATTAATATAAATTGGGTGATTTCAAGTAGATACTTGAAGAATTTCAGGACTTTGTAGAATGTTTCAAAATTAATTTATATATTCCAATATATCATCAAAAGTTCAAGGCTAACAGCCCAGGCATTGGGAAGGTTAAAAAGTGATTATAACAATAATCAGCAATTTTGTCAAAACAACTTTATTATATTTAAGTTAAGTACACACATTTATGAAAATTTGAACTTTGTTTCTAATAAATCAATTACAAGAGTAATTAATTAAAGGTATATTAAACCCAATTTAGTATAGAGTCCGATAGTACCCCACACACACACGCTTCATTAAATTCAATTAGAACCAATCAAAGGTTCATGTGTGCGAACCGTTTTGCCTTTTTGGAGAGGATTTTTTTATCGTGTGTTTGTAATTTTATCAGCGAAAGCAAAGTTTAAGTGTCCTATACATTGTAGTAAAATTAATTGATTTTGGCTGTTTTTTAATTGGCTTTGTCTTCTTCAAACAAAGAGAATATGAGAACCTGACATAGAGAAACTATATGTCTATGAAGTACCTATACTTTGTCTCCTGTATTTATAGATTTTCTTAATTGTGTTTAGAAGTTTTGGTTGTTTATATTGTATTCTGTATTTTTGTCTATAGTTGTTTTTGTTTTGTATAGTTTTTTATCTTTGTTTTGTTTTCCCATTTATATGTTTTTCACTTTCTTGTTTAGTTTAGGTATCTTTTAATTAAGTTGGAATGTTTGTCAATGGAGATTGTAACAACTTTTACCCAATTTGTCCTAAATTTTATCTCTGTTTCTCAATTTTTGTTTATTCCCAGGCTCTTGAATTTTTGTTACTAGACTTATATATTGTTTGAAAAGCCTATTAACCAAGGGGGTAGTCACTGTAAGATGGAGATTTCATGGAAATCTGTGGAAATCTATGAAAATACGTGGTGATCCAAGAACTTTGGCTGCAGTAGTTTTTCATAACAGGATACCCTGGTTATTAATGTATTTAAAGTCTGGAGGAGATACACGATGAGATTCATGGAAATCAAATGATCTACATGAAGATCCAAGGATATGCTTGGAGATCCCAGGAGATCCATGAATCTATGGAGTTCCATAAAGATCTCTACAAATGGACGTAATATTCTATCTTAAAAAATCGCAAATTACTACCTCCGAGGGAGTAGCCACACTGTGGAAATCTTCTGCCCCATGGGATGGAAATCTCGTGGAGATATGTGGAAATCCATAACATAAATATTTGGTAGAGATACATGAAGATTTATTGGAGATACGTGGAAATCTGGTGGAAATACGTGGTTATTAATATAGTAAAGGTTTGGAGAAGATACACAGAGATCCATGGAAATCAAATGATCTACATGGAGATCCAAGCATATGCTTGGAGATCCCAGGAGATACATGAATCTATGCAGTTCCATAAAGATCTCCACAAATGAAGATTATGTTCTATCTTAAAAAATCGCAAATTACTACCTATGAAGGGGTATAGCCACTGTGGTAATCTTCTGCCATGGTGGAATGGAAATCTCGTGAAGATATGTGGAAACTTAGTGTGGAAATTGATAGATATCTGGTAAAGATACATGAAGATTTATTGGAGAGTTGGTGGAAATACGTGGTTATTAATGTAGATGTAGATCCAACATGCGGCAATCCATGGAAATCCAAATAAATCTGTGTATCTATAAACACCATTTAGGCTAGCTGAATAGACTTGCAAATAACTTTAAGGGTGGTTTAAGGGGGTAAGGATTATTGTGAAAATATGGACATTTCCACCCTAGTCTCGAGCACAAATGGTACTGGAAGTTATAGGCAGTACCAATATACATCACAAAGTGACTATCAACTGTGCCAAATTGGTCCCTGAATCTTCTTTACAAATACAACATTTAGTTCAATGATTTGTAAGCTTGATTATAAAAATTACCTATATAGGACAAAGAAAAACTATTCTATATGAGTCCTGGCTGTCTTTCAACAATAAATAACTCCTAAACTTGAGTGATTATTGCAACCTTCTATTGGATTAATCACTTATTCATATGCAGAACACATCGGACAATGTCCTCTCTTTCCCATCACTTCCTATTTGAATGTTTGCAAAATACAACATAACATCATATACAAGTAAAGGTCATCTTTACTTGTACACTATATTTTGCTTGTTTTAATTTGAAATTAATTACTTAAAGACACTGGTTAGTTTTCAATTAAAAACTAATGATATTTTTATTGCAAAACTACATATATGAATGGGAAATTATGTAAAAACTCCACTATAATTATTGATGAGGAAATCAAATGATGGTGAAAGTTTTGATATTAGAAACAAAATAATTATATGTATATGGGATTGAATAAGCAGACCTACTATAGATGTTAGTAAGAGTAGGTGGACTTTTTTTTTTTGGAAAACTTGCAGTATTGCACTAATTGCATTGTCCTACTAGAATGATTTAGTTCTAACAACCAAAGTTGCGTTCTTACCCAAAAAGAAAAAAAAATCAAAAAACCTCAAAACACTAATGAAAGTTTAAAAGCATTGCAACTAGCACCGAAACTCGCATATATATAATATACGATTGTGTTTTTAGAAAGCGTCGCGACGTCTCGCGAGCTTAAAATTTCGATCGAAAAGCAGCAGGACTTGCTTTCAGAATCGACGATTTTCGAATCTAGCAGGCTATGGCACACTGCTATAGCAGGCCAGGCAGGATTTGCGCCAGCGTGTCGCACGTTGCCAATGTGATAAATTTCACTTTGAAATTGAGTAATTTAGATAAAGATTACAAAGTAGAACATCTGAGGTTTTTCAAAATTTGGTTTATTTGAAGTTTGAGCCATGTTTAGGGCTCATATATTTGCTCTATGAAGCTAAAACTCTTCAAGATTAAGTTTATTTAATAAAGTTTGAGGAGTTTAGGGTTCCTTTGAGCACTCTATGAAGCTCAAACAGTATATAAATGTATAAATAAACTCCTTTTAAAGTTTGATGACTACAATTCCTAGTACATAATCATTTGAGACAAGTTTCCAAGTAAAACATCTAAAACGCTTCAAGATTCAGTTTATTTAAAGTTTGAGGAGTTTAGGGCTCTCTATAGTTGCCCTATAAAGCTCAAATAGTATATAAATGTGTAGATAAACTCCTTTTATCAAGATAAGTTTCCAAGTACCAACAACATCCTAAATTCTTCAAAATCTAGTTTATTTAAAGTTTGAGAAGTTTTAGGGCTCTTTGCACTCTATAGTTGCTCTATGAAGCTCAAAACAGTATATAAATGTATAAGAGTTTGATGTCTACAATTCCTATAGAACATTCAATTAGGATAAGTTTCCAAGTAAAACACATCTAAAACTGTATTTATTTCTTCAAAAACAATAGATTTGAGGCTTTTTGAGCCTCTAAAAACTGAAATAATTGAGTTTTTCTCTATTAAATACCCCAAAAGCGCGGTAAAAATAAATATTTAAATTTTGTTGTTTTCATCAAAACATAGATGGCGCTGTTTGACCTGTTGCTTATTTTTGTTTATTTATAAATTGTTTTTAGTAAAGAATTATATTACAATTATTGTAATTAGCAATAGATTATTTATTAATTAATTAAGTTTATTGCAAAATAAATAAATAGCAACAATTTTACAAAAAAAAAGAAGAATTTTTCTAATTCGGAAATACGTCACGACGCCATGTCTCTTTTCAACTTGTTTATTTATGGTCGGTCGTCCTGCTCCTCGGTTCAATTAAATTTCAAAATAATTCGGAAAATCGGTTTCGGGCGAAAATAGTAAGAAATTAGTGATCAGCGGTTCGGAATACATCGATTAAGTGTAAATGTGGAGCTGGGGCGACCCAAAAAACACTGATTCCTGCACTATATGAACTCCAGACAAGAACGTGTAAATGTTTAGGTTTTGGTGCATAAACAATGGTAGATTCGTGGTCAGGGGGTTCAAATCCTTCAGGTAAGTGCAAATTTAGTCCTTTTTACTGTGTGTTTTATGGGGCGAAGCCCCTTTTATGTTTAAATTGAGGTATTTGCAATATCGACTGTTGCGCCCCCTAATCGTGTGTTTAACGGGGCAAAGGCCTAAATAACAATGTTGCCCCTTAATATAGTGTATAAATAAACCTTTTCTAAGTAGGTTAATAAAATATTTAAATTGTGACAAATATAGATGGCGCTTTTCGACTTTGCAAAAAAAAGAAGAATTTTCCTGTCAATAGCAGGAAACGTCATTTCATTTCATTTGTTTATTGTTGAAAATATGGCGTCCTGCTCCTCGGCTCAATTAAATTTCAAAATAATTCGGAAAATAGTCGGTTTCGGGCGAAAATAGTAAGACTTTCGTCATCAGCGGTTCGAAATACATCGATAAAGTGTAAATGTGGAGCTGGGGCGACCCAAAAAACACTGATTCCTGCACTATATAAACTCAGACAATAACGTGTAAATGTGTAGGTTTTGGTGCAAAAATAGTAGCAGATTCGTGGTCAGGGGGTTCATATCCTTCAGGTAAGTGCAAATTTGGCCCCTTTACTGTGTTTTGTAGGGCGAAGCCCTAAGTGACAATATTGCCCCTTACATATTTGCATCGACTGCTGCACCCCCTATAATCGTACGTTTTATAATAATAAATAAACAAAAATGATTAAATAAAATACATATTTAAATTTTCAAATTTTGTTGGTTAAGTAAAAATATAGGTGGCGCTTTCCTGACTTAAGAAGAATTTTTAAGTCAGTAGAGTAGGACATGTCACTCCATCACAAAATGTCGTCCTCTGGTCTTTTTCGAGTTAAATTTCAAGATAAGTAGTCGGTTTCGGGCGAAAAGAGTAGGAAATTCGTCATCAGCGGTTCGTAAACCATCGATTACGTGTAAATTTGGGCCTGGGGCGATCAAAAACTGATTTTGCACTATGAGACAGTTATTTGTAAATGTGTAGGTTTTGTGCGAAAATAGTCGTGATCAGGGGCCTCAAATCCTTCAGGTAAGTGCACCCTCACTGTGTTTTATGGGGCAAAGCCCTAAATGACAGTGTTGTCCCTTTTTTCGTGTAAACTTGAGGTATTTGCTATCTTGTGTTTTACATTTATTCTGTTTATGTGTTTTATTATATTATTATATGTTTTGTTCTCTTATTTCTACGTTTTTATTAATTTTAGTTTATTTTTGTTCATGAAGATTTTAAAAGTAAAAGCCCTAGATAACAATGTTGCCCATTTTTGGGGTTCGCCCCCCTTAATTCTAAGATTTTGTTAATTGTGTTCAGTGAATCAGAAAACCATTATAAAGGTAAGTAAAAATTTGGCCCCTTTTATCCTATTTATGTGTTTTATTATATTTTTTTTGTCTTGTTCTTTATCATCATCATCAAAAATCCTTGGGGAAAATTCTGAATCGACTTGGCAACGTTGCAAAACCGAAACTGACAAAAATATGGAGCGAAATAGTAGGGTCGGGTGCATGTGTACTGGAGAACAGCAGGAGTTCACGGCCCACTATATGCAAGGGAACGTTGTCCTTTCTTTTACGGAATTATCGAATGCTCTTTGTTGCAAATGATGATTCAACTTACTTATGTGTGTAATCATCACCCAGCTGATGATAATTGGACAGTACAAAAGAAAAGACATTCATTATTAAATACAAAAAAAAAATTATATTAATCAGTAGGTAGTAGGTACAATATAAATCACAGAATCCTTATCATCATTATGCTACATTGAACTTAAAAAACTCAATTTTGCGCTCGTTTAAGTAAGTCAAAAATTTGTCTCCCCCAGGTGTTTCAAAACTATTCATGTCAAACACCAAATTATCATTAGTAGGACAAGATCCCACTTCTTCTCCAGTGTTGACGCTGAACAGCAAAATACTTTTTCTTGTCTCGTGATGTCCTGCTACAATATTGTTAGGAGCAAAACAAGATGTTTTGGCTAGTAATTTTGCAGTGCTGCCTCCTTTAAACGAATACACTGTATTACAGGAAATCAAATCTGGATCTCTAGTTTTTTCCAGGTGGCACACAGTATGTCTGGCAAAGGGCATGTTTTTATTGGGCCTGGAACTAACCAGGATTTGTTTGGTTTCTTTGTCATAACGCAGAGACAAAAAAGGACCTTCCAATGGTAATATATGTCTATTAAAGGAACCATCTACAAACAATTATTATTAGTTTGACATAAAATCTTCAAACAATTATTACCTGGATAACATTCAAAAGCCCAAACAGCATTCAACCGAGCTGCAACAATAATATCAGAACCACTGGGTTCTTGTATTGCAATCATTGAAACCACTGGGCTAAAATCACCCAGCACTGACAAGCTCAGTTTTGGTTCGATGATTTTTCTGAGATCATACAAAGAAACAGTACCATTTTGAGTACCAATAAAAAACTCGTTTGAATTTCTTGGATTCCAAGTGCAAGCCCAAGGGGCTGAATCCAAACTGACCGACTGTGAAGAGGTGTTATGAGTTTCAGTAACCTGTAAAATGTTTCAGTTTTAGAACCCTAAGGCATGACCTACACAAGTGTAGATCATCTCTTAGCGCAAATAATTACTTTGAATTTCTTTTCAGTTGACACAGTTAAGACTAGTGAATTAACTGTAGGATGCAAACACATGTCTCTGATTGGTTCTTTGTGGATGGGTATAAATTTGATTGGTTTGTAGTTGCTTAATGAGAATTGTTTAACACCAAAGGCCCCAAATAAGTCTGAAGGGGCTCGAGATGTTACTAATAATGCGTCTTGTTGTACTGAAATATCAAACACTTTACAGTCTCTGCAACCGTTTTTGCTGCAAATTTCCAAGTTTTTTTCCATGTAGAGTCTGACTCTGTTTACAGCCAGTTTAAGATCAGTAGCTTTACAGCCTGAAGTCAGTTCTTGCACTCTGCGTTTCAGCTGCTCTATTTCCGCCTTTAAAACATGCTCTCTGCTTATGTATTTTGAAACGTTTTGCAGGGCGCTGTTTTTCTGAGCCAGGGCTGTTTCTAGTTGCACTCGTAAGCTTTCCAGTTCCACGTTGTCCACAGCTATGAGTTTTTTCGCGTAAATGAAGCGTAGGTCTGATCTGCGTACTGGTTTTTTGCAGGTGGGGCAGCATTTTTTCGTTTGGACGTCCAGCCAACGTAAAATGCATTTGTGGCTGTGAAATAAATAATTGGAATTTAGTATACGTGTAATCATATGACAGACTATTGAAGTGACACTTCTTCAAACATACCAGGAAAGTCTTAGAAATGAGCTTCTCACCTTCCTCTTTACATGCAAAAAGTTTCAAAATTTTCCCTTTACTAGTTTTTCAGGAAAACTTTGAAATGTATGAGACTGTATTTTCAATTAATTCAGCTATTGTAGGTTGATTTCCAATATTCCTCATGTTGTTATTTTCCACAGGAAAAATTTGAAATTTTGGGAAAATGAGCTTCTCACCTTCCTCTTTACTTTACATGCAATAAGTTTCAAAATTTTCCCTTTACTAGTTTTTCAGGAAAACTTTGAAATGCGCGAGACTGTATTTTTAATTAATTCAGTTATTGTAGGTTGATTTCCAATATTCCTCATGTTGTTATTTTCCACTGGAAAAATTTGAAATTTTGGGAAAATGAGCTTCTCACCTTCCTCTTTACATGTAAAAAGTTTCAAATTTCTCCCTTCACTAGTTTTCCAGGAAAACTTTGAAATGCGTGAGACTGTATTTTTAATTAATTCAGTTATTGTAGGTTGATTTCCAATATTCCTCATGTTGTTATTTTCCACAGGAAAAATTTGAAATTTTGGGAAAATGAGCTTCTCACCTTCCTCTTTACATGCAATAAGTTTCAAAATTTTCCCTTTACTAGTTTTTCAGGAAAACTTTGAAATGCATGAGACTGTATTTTCAATTAATTCAGCTATTGTAGGTTGATTTCCAATATTCCTCATGTTGTTATTTTCCACAGGAAAAATTTGAAATTTTGGGAAGATGAGCTTCTCACCTTCCTCTTTACATGCAATAAGTTTCAAAATTTTCCCTTTACTAGTTTTTCAGGAAAACTTTGAAATGTATGAGACTGTATTTTCAATTAATTCAGCTATTGTAGGTTGATTTCCAATATTCCTCATGTTGTTATTTTCCACAGGAAAAATTTGAAATTTTGGGAAAATGAGCTTCTCACCTTCCTCTTTACATGCAATAAGTTTCAAAATTTTCCCTTTACTAGTTTTTCAGGAAAACTTTGAAATGCGTGAGACTGTATTTTCAATTAATTCAGTTATTGTAGGTTGATTTCCAATATTCCTCATGTTGTTACTTTCCACAGGAAAAATTTGAAATTTTGGGAAAATGAGCTTCTCACCTTCCTCTTTACATGCAATAAGTTTCAAAATTTTCCCTTTACTAGTTTTTCAGGAAAACTTTGAAATGCGTGAGACTGTATTTTTAATTAATTCAGTTATTGTAGGTTGATTTCCAATATTCCTCATGTTGTTATTTTCCACAGGAAAAATTTGAAATTTTGGGAAAATGAGCTTCTCACCTTCCTCTTTACATGTAAAAAGTTTCAAATTTCTCCCTTCACTAGTTTTCCAGGAAAACTTTGAAATGCGTGAGACTGTATTTTTAATTAATTCAGTTATTGTAGGTTGATTTCCAATATTCCTCATGTTGTTATTTTCCACAGGAAAAATTTGAAATTTTGGGAAAATGAGCTTCTCACCTTCCTCTTTACATGCAATAAGTTTCAAAATTTTCCCTTTACTAGTTTTTCAGCAAAACTTTGAAATGCGTGAGACTGTATTTTTAATTAATTCAGTTATTGTAGGTTGATTTCCAATATTCCTCATGTTGTTATTTTCCACAGGAAAAATTTGAAATTTTGGGAAAATGAGCTTCTCACCTTCCTCTTTACATGCAATAAGTTTCAAAATTTTCCCTTTACTAGTTTTTCAGGAAAACTTTGAAATGCATGAGACTGTATTTTCAATTAATTCAGCTATTGTAGGTTGATTTCCAATATTCCTCATGTTGTTATTTTCCACAGGAAAAATTTGAAATTTTGGGAAAATGAGCCTCTCACCTTCCTCTTTACATGCAATAAGTTTCAAAATTTTCCCTTTACTAGTTTTTCAGGAAAACTTTGAAATGCATGAGACTGTATTTTCAATTAATTCAGCTATTGTAGGTTGTTTTCCAATATTCCTCATGTTGTTATTTTCCACAGGAAAAATTTGAAATTTTGGGAAGATGAGCTTCTCACCTTCCTCTTTACATGCAATAAGTTTCAAAATTTTCCCTTTACTAGTTTTTCAGGAAAACTTTGAAATGTATGAGACTGTATTTTCAATTAATTCAGCTATTGTAGGTTGATTTCCAATATTCCTCATGTTGTTATTTTCCACAGGAAAAATTTGAAATTTTGGGAAAATGAGCTTCTCACCTTCCTCTTTACATGCAATAAGTTTCAAAATTTTCCCTTTACTAGTTTTTCAGGAAAACTTTGAAATGCGCGAGACTGTATTTTTAATTAATTCAGTTATTGTAGGTTGATTTCCAATATTCCTCATGTTGTTATTTTCCACAGGAAAAATTTGAAATTTTGGGAAAATGAGCTTCTCACCTTCCTCTTTACATGCAATAAGTTTCAAAATTTTCCCTTTACTAGTTTTTCAGGAAAACTTTGAAATGCATGAGACTGTATTTTCAATTAATTCAGCTATTGTAGGTTGTTTTCCAATATTCCTCATGTTGTTATTTTCCACAGGAAAAATTTGAAATTTTGGGAAGATGAGCTTCTCACCTTCCTCTTTACATGCAATAAGTTTCAAAATTTTCCCTTTACTAGTTTTTCAGGAAAACTTTGAAATGTATGAGACTGTATTTTCAATTAATTCAGCTATTGTAGGTTGATTTCCAATATTCCTCATGTTGTTATTTTCCACTGGAAAAATTTGAAATTTTGGGAAAATGAGCTTCTCACCTTCCTCTTTACATGCAATAAGTTTCAAAATTTTCCCTTTACTAGTTTTTCAGGAAAACTTTGAAATGCATGAGACTGTATTTTCAATTAATTCAGCTATTGTAGGTTGATTTCCAATATTCCTCATGTTGTTATTTTCCACAGGAAAAATTTGAAATTTTGGGAAAATGAGCTTCTCACCTTCCTCTTTACATGCAATAAGTTTCAAAATTTTCCCTTTACTAGTTTTTCAGGAAAACTTTGAAATGTATGAGACTGTATTTTCAATTAATTCAGCTATTGTAGGTTGATTTCCAATATTCCTCATGTTGTTATTTTCCACTGGAAAAATTTGAAATTTTGGGAAAATGAGCTTCTCACCTTCCTCTTTACATGCAATAAGTTTCAAAATTTTCCCTTTACTAGTTTTTCAGGAAAACTTTGAAATGCATGAGACTGTATTTTCAATTAATTCAGCTATTGTAGGTTGATTTCCAATATTCCTCATGTTGTTATTTTCCACAGGAAAAATTTGAAATTTTGGGAAAATGAGCTTCTCACCTTCCTCTTTACATGCAATAAGTTTCAAAATTTTCCCTTTACTAGTTTTTCAGGAAAACTTTGAAATGCATGAGACTGTATTTTCAATTAATTCAGCTATTGTAGGTTGTTTTCCAATATTCCTCATGTTGTTATTTTCCACAGGAAAAATTTGAAATTTTGGGAAGATGAGCTTCTCACCTTCCTCTTTACATGCAATAAGTTTCAAAATTTTCCCTTTACTAGTTTTTCAGGAAAACTTTGAAATGTATGAGACTGTATTTTCAATTAATTCAGCTATTGTAGGTTGATTTCCAATATTCCTCATGTTGTTATTTTCCACAGGAAAAATTTGAAATTTTGGGAAAATGAGCTTCTCACCTTCCTCTTTACATGCAATAAGTTTCAAAATTTTCCCTTTACTAGTTTTTCAGGAAAACTTTGAAATGCATGAGACTGTATTTTCAATTAATTCAGCTATTGTAGGTTGATTTCCAATATTCCTCATGTTGTTATTTTCCACAGGAAAAATTTGAAATTTTGGGAAAATGAGCCTCTCACCTTCCTCTTTACATGCAATAAGTTTCAAAATTTTCCCTTTACTAGTTTTTCAGGAAAACTTTGAAATGCATGAGACTGTATTTTCAATTAATTCAGCTATTGTAGGTTGTTTTCCAATATTCCTCATGTTGTTATTTTCCACAGGAAAAATTTGAAATTTTGGGAAGATGAGCTTTTCACCTTCCTCTTTACATGCAATAAGTTTCAAAATTTTCCCTTTACTAGTTTTTCAGGAAAACTTTGAAATGTATGAGACTGTATTTTCAATTAATTCAGCTATTGTAGGTTGATTTCCAATATTCCTCATGTTGTTATTTTCCACAGGAAAAATTTGAAATTTTGGGAAAATGAGCTTCTCACCTTCCTCTTTACATGCAATAAGTTTCAAAATTTTCCCTTTACTAGTTTTTCAGGAAAACTTTGAAATGTATGAGACTGTATTTTCAATTAATTCAGCTATTGTAGGTTGATTTCCAATATTCCTCATGTTGTTATTTTCCACTGGAAAAATTTGAAATTTTGGGAAAATGAGCTTCTCACCTTCCTCTTTACATGCAATAAGTTTCAAAATTTTCCCTTTACTAGTTTTTCAGGAAAACTTTGAAATGCATGAGACTGTATTTTCAATTAATTCAGCTATTGTAGGTTGATTTCCAATATTCCTCATGTTGTTATTTTCCACAGGAAAAATTTGAAATTTTGGGAAAATGAGCTTCTCACCTTCCTCTTTACATGCAATAAGTTTCAAAATTTTCCCTTTACTAGTTTTTCAGGAAAACTTTGAAATGTATGAGACTGTATTTTCAATTAATTCAGCTATTGTAGGTTGATTTCCAATATTCCTCATGTTGTTATTTTCCACTGGAAAAATTTGAAATTTTGGGAAAATGAGCTTCTCACCTTCCTCTTTACATGCAATAAGTTTCAAAATTTTCCCTTTACTAGTTTTTCAGGAAAACTTTGAAATGTATGAGACTGTATTTTCAATTAATTCAGCTATTGTAGGTTGATTTCCAATATTCCTCATGTTGTTATTTTCCACAGGAAAAATTTGAAATTTTGGGAAAATGAGCCTCTCACCTTCCTCTTTACATGCAATAAGTTTCAAAATTTTCCCTTTACTAGTTTTTCAGGAAAACTTTGAAATGCATGAGACTGTATTTTCAATTAATTCAGCTATTGTAGGTTGTTTTCCAATATTCCTCATGTTGTTATTTTCCACAGGAAAAATTTGAAATTTTGGGAAGATGAGCTTTTCCACTTCCTCTTTACATGCAATAAGTTTCAAAATTTTCCCTTTACTAGTTTTTCAGGAAAACTTTGAAATGTATGAGACTGTATTTTCAATTAATTCAGCTATTGTAGGTTGATTTCCAATATTCCTCATGTTGTTATTTTCCACAGGAAAAATTTGAAATTTGGGAAAATGAGCTTCTCACCTTCCTCTTTACATGCAATAAGTTTCAAAATTTTCCCTTTACTAGTTTTTCAGGAAAACTTTGAAATGTATGAGACTGTATTTTCAATTAATTCAGCTATTGTAGGTTGATTTCCAATATTCTCATGTTGTTATTTTCCACTGGAAAAATTTGAAATTTTGGGAAAATGAGCTTCTCACCTTCCTCTTTACATGCAATAAGTTTCAAAATTTTCCCTTTACTAGTTTTTCAGGAAAACTTTGAAATGCATGAGACTGTATTTTCAATTAATTCAGCTATTGTAGGTTGATTTCCAATATTCCTCATGTTGTTATTTTCCACAGGAAAAATTTGAAATTTTGGGAAAATGAGCTTCTCACCTTCCTCTTTACATGCAATAAGTTTCAAAATTTTCCCTTTACTAGTTTTTCAGGAAAACTTTGAAATGTATGAGACTGTATTTTCAATTAATTCAGCTATTGTAGGTTGATTTCCAATATTCCTCATGTTGTTATTTTCCACTGGAAAAATTTGAAATTTTGGGAAAATGAGCTTCTCACCTTCCTCTTTACATGCAATAAGTTTCAAAATTTTCCCTTTACTAGTTTTTCAGGAAAACTTTGAAATGCATGAGACTGTATTTTCAATTAATTCAGCTATTGTAGGTTGATTTCCAATATTCCTCATGTTGTTATTTTCCACAGGAAAAATTTGAAATTTTGGGAAAATGAGCTTCTCACCTTCCTCTTTACATGCAATAAGTTTCAAAATTTTCCCTTTACTAGTTTTTTCAGGAAAACTTTGAAATGCATGAGACTGTATTTTCAATTAATTCAGCTATTGTAGGTTGTTTTCCAATATTCCTCATGTTGTTATTTTCCACAGGAAAAATTTGAAATTTTGGGAAGATGAGCTTCTCACCTTCCTCTTTACATGCAATAAGTTTCAAAATTTTCCCTTTACTAGTTTTTCAGGAAAACTTTGAAATGTATGAGACTGTATTTTCAATTAATTCAGCTATTGTAGGTTGATTTCCAATATTCCTCATGTTGTTATTTTCCACAGGAAAAATTTGAAATTTTGGGAAAATGAGCTTCTCACCTTCCTCTTTACATGCAATAAGTTTCAAAATTTTCCCTTTACTAGTTTTTCAGGAAAACTTTGAAATGCGCGAGACTGTATTTTTAATTAATTCAGTTATTGTAGGTTGATTTCCAATATTCCTCATGTTGTTATTTTCCACAGGAAAAATTTGAAATTTTGGGAAAATGAGCTTCTCACCTTCCTCTTTACATGCAAAAAGTTTCAAAATTTTCATCCCCCATTACTAGTTTTTCAGGAAAACTTTGAAATGTATGAGACTGTATTTTCAATTAATTCAGCTATTGTAGGTTGATTTCCAATATTCCTCATGTTGTTATTTTCCACTGGAAAAATTTGAAATTTTGGGAAAATGAGCTTCTCACCTTCCTCTTTGCATGCAAAAAGTTTCAAAATTTTCCCTTCACTAGTTTTCCAGGAAAACATTGAAATGTGTGAGACTGTATTTTCAATTAATTCAGTTTTTGTAAGTTGATTTCCAAGATTTTTCACAAGCTTAAAAATCTGTCAGAACAATTTTGAAATCACTAGAATGTTCCAGAACTCTTGAAGTCAAGTTAGAACACTTTAGAACTTCAATAAGAATTATGTCAGAAAGTTCCAGCACTTTTAAAACTTCAACAATCATACAAGACAGTTCAAATCCAAATCCGTATTTTTTGGAGCACTCTGGAACAATTGAGAAACTCCAGAGTTGTTCCAGAACAATTAGGATTCAATTTGAACCAATTTAGAACACTTGGAGCTACACTAGGGCTCTAAAATACTTGTTAGAACACTCAAGAACTTCAATAAGAATTATGTCAGAAAGCCCTAGCGCCTGGAATAAACAAAAAATTACACCCAAAGAAGTTTCACTCCAAAAACAAATTGGTACCAACCCAAATAAGTGTCCACACTTTAGGGCACACATCCTGTGATCCCCGCAATTAGTCCAGGCTTCCAGGCACACTGGACAAGTACTACCGTCTTCGTCGTCCTGGTAGGAAGTACCTTGACTGGGCCCTGGTGGTTCTTCTTGTTCGTCAGCTCCATCTTGCTCTTCCAACTCCATATTTTCTAATAAAACATAATTTTTTTTGAGTGTTTTTTTAGTTTATTTTCTTATTAACTTACCATTGTCTTGCATTTTTTGAAATTGTTTGTTTGTGTTTTCATAGCCTCACTTTTCAATAACGCCTTGTTGCCAATTTAGACAAAGTTGCTTCCCGCGCTGATTATTCAAAAATATTAGTACCATCGTCACAAATTTGTTGTTATTATTGGGTACCACTTCTTGATAACTTGTTTTTGTTTATGGCAGACAAGTTCTTCGGGGTTATCGTGTTAAGACAGCGATTTTTTTTTTCTAGGCTAACGTCAGCGCAAATAATTAGGTACTGCTTATGGTGGTACTGGGTTACTTAACAAGTAGACGAAAAGAGAGAGCTGCAATAATAATAGTTGGTTTTTAGTAGTGAATGCATCATCATTATGGATAATATTAAAAAAGGGTTCCTTTTGGCTAATAATAATTGGTAAGTTTTTTGCCTATATGTATTTGTTTTTGTCTTTGTTAGAAGTTTGCCTTCAAGATAATCAACTATTTCAACATTGATGTGATGACCTTTTCATATAATGCAATTATAAGGTGGATGCGCCAGAGGCCATAGTCTAAACACTTAAAATTATTCCCCTCTTTTTTCCTACTACTAGAAAACAGCTTCGGCAGTGTTCGGGCTGCCTTTACAGCTGATTGTCCAAAATATTTGCTTTTTAAATTTTCATTTATCAGATTCAAGTAAAGTGTCCTAGCGACTGGGTGTGTGGTGTGTGCGTCGTTATTACAAAGTACAAAGTACTCATCATAGACCTCTATTTAATTATTATGTGTATATGAATTATTGAAACAAAGGCAACAAACAAATATAATGGCTAGTTGTAGTAACAATAAAGACAATATAATGTTGCAAAACAGGTCTCAAGATGTCAAAGTGCAAATAGTGCCGGCCCAACAGAAAAAGTTGGTGCACGTTATCAAAAGGGAAAAGGTGGACTTGTCGTTTTCGAATTTGAGCTACACCGTTAAACAAGGAAAACGTAAGTACCATTTTTCAATCTATAATAAAGTTTTGTATTTAAATAGTGCGCCGTATATTATTTTTCAAATCAATTTGGCAACCAGGCAAGAAAACAACCAATAGAAATCGATTAATAGTGACATCATTGTCTCAAATAATTTGAATTTTTAATGTAGTAGACTCGTTTGTGTGTTGCCACATTATTAGGTTATTATTGAAAGCCAATTTAAATCAATCATTAAAAATCAATTATTATTGCAAATTTTCCACCACTTAATTAAGTCTATTAATATAGTACATTTATTTTTTTTGTAGAAGAAAAAGTTATTTTGAAAAATGTCAGCGGTAGGCTCAGATCTGGAGAGCTTACAGCGATTATGGGCCCTTCGGGGGCGGGAAAGTCTACACTACTCAACATCCTGACAGGATATAAGTAAGTAACAAGTCATTTTATGGTTGAAGTACATTGAAGTGATTATTCTCGGCTCTTGATTTAATTGAATCTATAACTCCAAATGAGCTGAAATTTTCAGGGATTGTAGTCCTCTACTGGGATAAGAATCGCTGAAAATTTCAGCTTTCTATCTATAATAGAAAAAAAGTTATGACCTTCCAAAGTTTTCCAAAATCTAAATCATAAGGTAGGTACCTTCTTACTAAAACGATGAAATTTCAAATTTTTTTTTGTCGAGATTTTGTATCCTAATGGTCAATCAACATACCCCAAACTCCATACACTAAATTATTCTCAGATTTGAAGCTGAAATCTATGAAAAAAGGCACTCAGAAAAATTGAAAAATTGATAAATCACCCCAAATTGCTTAACACGATTTTATCTCAGGAACTATAAGTGAAAATGAGCTGAAATTTTCAGGGATTGTAGTCCTTTGAAGGGGATAAAATTCAGTGAAAGATTCAGCTTTCTATCTATAATAGAAAAAAAGTTATGACCTTCCAAAGTTTTCCAAAATCTAAATCATAAGGTAGGTACCTTCTTACTAAAACGATGAAATTTCAAATTTTTTTTTGTCGAGATTTTGTATCCTAATGGTCAATCAACATACCCCAAACTCCATACACTAAATTATTCTCAGATTTGAAGCTGAAATCTATGAAAAAAGGCACTCAGAAAAATTGAAAAATTGATAAATCACCCCAAATTGCTTAACACGATTTTATCTCAGGAACTATAAGTGAAAATGAGCTGAAATTTTCAGGGATTGTAGTCCTTTGAAGGGGATAAAATTCAGTGAAAGATTCAGCTTTCTATCTATAATAGAAAAAAAGTTATGACCTTCCAAAGTTTTCCAAAATCTAAATCATAAGGTAGGTACCTTCTTACTAAAACGATGAAATTTCAAATTTTTTTTTGTCGAGATTTTGTATCCTAATGGTCAATCAACATACCCCAAACTCCATACACTAAATTATTCTCAGATTTGAAGCTGAAATCTATGAAAAAAGGCACTCAGAAAAATTGAAAAATTGATAAATCACCCCAAATTGCTTAACACGATTTTATCTCAGGAACTATAAGTGCAAATGAGCTGAAATTTTTAGGGATTGTAGTCCTTTGAAGGGGATAAAATTCAGTGAAAGATTCAGCTTTCTATCTATAATAGAAAAAAAGTTATGACCTTCCAAAGTTTTCCAAAATCTAAATCATAAGGTAGGTACCTTCTTACTAAAACGATGAAATTTCAAATTTTTTTTTGTCGAGATTTTGTATCCTAATGGTCAATCAACATACCCCAAACTCCATACACTAAATTATTCTCAGATTTGAAGCCGAAATCTATGAAAAAAGGCACTCAGAAAAATTGAAAAATTGATAAATCACCCCAAATTGCTTAACACAATTTTATCTTAGGAACTATGAGTGCAAATGAGCTGAAATTTTCAGGGATTGTAGTCCTTTGAAAGGGATAAAATTCAGTGAAAGATTCAGCTTTCTATCTATAATAGAAAAAAAGTTATGACCTTCCAAAGTTTTCCAAAATCTAAATCATAAGGTAGGTACCTTCTTACTAAAACGATGAAATTTCAAATTTTTTTTTGTCGAGATTTTGTATCCTAATGGTCAATCAACATACCCCAAACTCCATACACTAAATTATTCTCAGATTTGAAGCCGAAATCTATGAAAAAAGGCACTCAGAAAAATTGAAAAATTGATAAATCACCCCAAATTGCTTAACACAATTTTATCTTAGGAACTATGAGTGCAAATGAGCTGAAATTTTCAGGGATTGTAGTCCTTTGAAAGGGATAAAATTCAGTGAAAGATTCAGCTTTCTATCTATAATAGAAAAAAAGTTATGACCTTCCAAAGTTTTCCAAAATCTAAATCATAAGGTAGGTACCTTCTTACTAAAACGATGAAATTTCAAATTTTTTTTTGTCGAGATTTTGTATCCTAATGGTCAATCAACATACCCCAAACTCCATACCCTAAATTATTCTCAGATTTGAAGCCGAAATCTATGAAAAAAGGCACTCAGAAAAATTGAAAAATTGATAAATCACCCCAAATTGCTTAACACAATTTTATCTTAGGAACTATGAGTGCAAATGAGCTGAAATTTTCAGGGATTGTAGTCCTTTGAAAGGGATAAAATTCAGTGAAAGATTCAGCTTTCTATCTATAATAGAAAAAAAGTTATGACCTTCCAAAGTTTTCCAAAATCTAAATCATAAGGTAGGTACCTTCTTACTAAAACGATGAAATTTCAAATTTTTTTTTGTCGAGATTTTGTATCCTAATGGTCAATCAACATACCCCAAACTCCATACACTAAATTATTCTCAGATTTGAAGCCGAAATCTATGAAAAAAGGCACTCAGAAAAATTGAAAAATTGATAAATCACCCCAAATTGCTTAACACAATTTTATCTTAGGAACTATGAGTGCAAATGAGCTGAAATTTTCAGGGATTGTAGTCCTTTGAAAGGGATAAAATTCAGTGAAAGATTCAGCTTTCTATCTATAATAGAAAAAAAGTTATGACCTTCCAAAGTTTTCCAAAATCTAAATCATAAGGTAGGTACCTTCTTACTAAAACGATGAAATTTCAAATTTTTTTTTGTCGAGATTTTGTATCCTAATGGTCAATCAACATACCCCAAACTCCATACCCTAAATTATTCTCAGATTTGAAGCCGAAATCTATGAAAAAAGGCACTCAGAAAAATTGAAAAATTGATAAATCACCCCAAATTGCTTAACACAATTTTATCTTAGGAACTATGAGTGCAAATGAGCTGAAATTTTCAGGGATTGTAGTCCTTTGAAAGGGATAAAATTCAGTGAAAGATTCAGCTTTCTATCTATAATAGAAAAAAAGTTATGACCTTCCAAAGTTTTCCAAAATCTAAATCATAAGGTAGGTACCTTCTTACTAAAACGATGAAATTTCAAATTTTTTTTTGTCGAGATTTTGTATCCTAATGGTCAATCAACATACCCCAAACTCCATACACTAAATTATTCTCAGATTTGAAGCCGAAATCTATGAAAAAAGGCACTCAGAAAAATTGAAAAATTGATAAATCACCCCAAATTGCTTAACACAATTTTATCTTAGGAACTATGAGTGCAAATGAGCTGAAATTTTCAGGGATTGTAGTCCTTTGAAAGGGATAAAATTCAGTGAAAGATTCAGCTTTCTATCTATAATAGAAAAAAAGTTATGACCTTCCAAAGTTTTCCAAAATCTAAATCATAAGGTAGGTACCTTCTTACTAAAACGATGAAATTTCAAATTTTTTTTTGTCGAGATTTTGTATCCTAATGGTCAATCAACATACCCCAAACTCCATACCCTAAATTATTCTCAGATTTGAAGCCGAAATCTATGAAAAAAGGCACTCAGAAAAATTGAAAAATTGATAAATCACCCCAAATTGCTTAACACAATTTTATCTTAGGAACTATGAGTGCAAATGAGCTGAAATTTTCAGGGATTGTAGTCCTTTGAAAGGGATAAAATTCAGTGAAAGATTCAGCTTTCTATCTATAATAGAAAAAAAGTTATGACCTTCCAAAGTTTTCCAAAATCTAAATCATAAGGTAGGTACCTTCTTACTAAAACGATGAAATTTCAAATTTTTTTTTGTCGAGATTTTGTATCCTAATGGTCAATCAACATACCCCAAACTCCATACACTAAATTATTCTCAGATTTGAAGCCGAAATCTATGAAAAAAGGCACTCAGAAAAATTGAAAAATTGATAAATCACCCCAAATTGCTTAACACAATTTTATCTTAGGAACTATGAGTGCAAATGAGCTGAAATTTTCAGGGATTGTAGTCCTTTGAAAGGGATAAAATTCAGTGAAAGATTCAGCTTTCTATCTATAATAGAAAAAAAGTTATGACCTTCCAAAGTTTTCCAAAATCTAAATCATAAGGTAGGTACCTTCTTACTAAAACGATGAAATTTCAAATTTTTTTTTGTCGAGATTTTGTATCCTAATGGTCAATCAACATACCCCAAACTCCATACACTAAATTATTCTCAGATTTGAAGCTGAAATCTATGAAAAAAGGCACTCAGAAAAATTGAAAAATTGATAAATCACCCCAAATTGCTTAACACGATTTTATCTCAGGAACTATAAGTGCAAATGAGCTGAAATTTTTAGGGATTGTAGTCCTTTGAAGGGGATAAAATTCAGTGAAAGATTCAGCTTTCTATCTATAATAGAAAAAAAGTTATGACCTTCCAAAGTTTTCCAAAATCTAAATCATAAGGTAGGTACCTTCTTACTAAAACGATGAAATTTCAAATTTTTTTTTGTCGAGATTTTGTATCCTAATGGTCAATCAACATACCCCAAACTCCATACACTAAATTATTCTCAGATTTGAAGCCGAAATCTATGAAAAAAGGCACTCAGAAAAATTGAAAAATTGATAAATCACCCCAAATTGCTTAACACAATTTTATCTTAGGAACTAGGAGTGCAAATGAGCTGAAATTTTCAGGGATTGTAGTCCTTTGAAAGGGATAAAATTCAGTGAAAGATTCAGCTTTCTATCTATAATAGAAAAAAAGTTATGACCTTCCAAAGTTTTCCAAAATCTAAATCATAAGGTAGGTACCTTCTTACTAAAACGATGAAATTTCAAATTTTTTTTTGTCGAGATTTTGTATCCTAATGGTCAATCAACATACCCCAAACTCCATACACTAAATTATTCTCAGATTTGAAGCCGAAATCTATGAAAAAAGGCACTCAGAAAAATTGAAAAATTGATAAATCACCCCAAATTGCTTAACACAATTTTATCTTAGGAACTATGAGTGCAAATGAGCTGAAATTTTCAGGGATTGTAGTCCTTTGAAAGGGATAAAATTCAGTGAAAGATTCAGCTTTCTATCTATAATAGAAAAAAAGTTATGACCTTCCAAAGTTTTCCAAAATCT